GCTACAGTCTAGAGCAACGTAGGATTTCGAAAAAAAAGTTTATTTATCAGTAATCCTTCTTTATCAGTAATCGACAAGCAAGTATGAACTATATTTCATAGCACCTCTTTAACTTTTACTTTGGCTACATTTTTAAGTCGTATAAAAGTGAAATTGCATATTTAAGGTTTGTATATACCTGAGATGTGACATCAAGGCAACTTTTTCGTCAATATCGGCTAACCGAAAGTGCCACACATTTTTACGATTTTCTCAAACGATTTTAATTAAACTGAGTATATCAATATATTATAAAAGAGTTTTTAATTTGGACTTTTACTATTCTATCCAAGTAACATTTATAATTTGTAAAGAACACTGGGACCATGCAGTTAAGTGGATTCATGATTTCACTTCTTTATCGGGAGTTGCTTTTACAGTTTTCCTCTTAGGCAATCCGTCTAGTTTGGGAAGCTTATCTTAATAAGGAAATGGAATTGTCGAAAGAGGACAGTGGGCAGTGGAGGCTTAAAAAAAAAAAAATCTTAGTAAAAAAGAAGCTTTACCAACAGACTTTCACAATTCGTTATAAAAACAATTACCAGGACAATCCAAGTAAATAGAAAAAAAAAGTCTATCACGTAAACCAATATAACTTCGTCAATTTTATTTGGTCCTTGGTCCTTGGAAAAATACGCATATAATTCAATAAGATTACAATTTGTTTAAAACTGAACAGAACAATAAAATTTATACACGTCTAATAAACCACACAAAGCTTTAACTATATTTATAACAGGACTATAATACATAAACAAATTATATAGCTTTCATATATTTGATTAGTATGAGAGACAACAAAATTCACAATAATCAAAAACATAAGAACCGAAATGAGCTTCGAAGTTCAAGCACTTTAATAGCTTTTAACGATTAAAACCGAGCTTAATAAAAATGTTGATGCACTTTCAATTATCTTCAAGCTTATGTGAAGTCGTAATATGCGAAATGTCGTTTGACCGCTCGGATTTATAAACTCACTTCAGTACTTAATTTTTGTTTACTATTGTTATGGATGTTGAAGTCTCTCATGCCAACATAATATATAAAAGCTATGTACTTTGTTTATACATTCTAGTTCTGTTATAAAAATAATTAAATAAGCCGAATCAAAAGCATTGAAAAGCGTCGGATTCACGAGTGAAATATGTCTTCGATTCCATGCGATTCAACAGTCACTTAACCCTTACACACATTAACGTGTCTGCATAAAGTACAATGGAAATTTAATGGTATTTCAAATTTATTATAATGAATTTCTTCGAGAGAAGCAGATTATGAATTTTGGGAAAAAAACTGACGAAAACATATATTTCTTCTGAAATAAGTAAAAAGTTAATATTCTGTAACTCTTCACCAGTTGGACCTACATCAAAAACCTATGTATAAAATCTATAATAAATTTTATCTTTTTATATAACTGCTTCGATAAAATGCATCGTTTTGGAGTCATGTCCAAAAAAAACTACAAAAAAGTTTGGAATTTCCATATTTTTTTGCATATATCTCGAAAGACAATGGAAAATTTCGTTCGGGAACATCAAATTCAGATTCAGCATCCCAAAAAATACAAAAAAAAAAAACCAAAGAGAAACCGACTTTTTAATTTTTTTTTCCTCATCCAACTGCCCTAATTGGATGACTGACGCGTCAGTTTTAAATTATTTAATTTTTGCCGACGTTTCGACCTACTTTGCAGGTCTTCATCAGGGCGTAGAATGTAGCACTGATGAAGACTTGCAAAGTAGGTCGAAACGTCGGCAAAAATTAAATAATTCTACTTATTTAATTCAGTATTAATTTGACCGCACCCCTCCCTCCCCCCATGGTATTAATTTGACCGCACCCGATCAACTTCTTCTCATAGAATTTAAAATGGTTACTAGCTTTGAATCCTTTAAATAGTTTTGCCACAATTTAGCCCATTTATGACCCCAGACCATCTCCTTATTTTATAATGCAACGATCAACTATTAAATATTCAATTTAAATCCTTCAGTTAAATGAAATGATCCATAGCTCCTAGTCTATAAAAACAAGGATTTAATTATGCGAAATTTTTGCATAGAAAACGACTTTCAACCGACTGACAGGAATTGTGTGTTCAGATGAGATTTATCTAGAATTTAAAATGGTTCCTAGCTTTAAATAGTTTTGTCACTATTTAGCCTATTTATGACCACCACCCTGGACTATCAAGCAACAGTCAACTATTAAATATTCAATTTAAATCCTTCAGTTAAATGAAATGATCCATAGCTCCTAGTCTATAAAAACAAGGATTTAATTAAGCGAAATTTAATATTCTTCATTTTTAAAGTAACAAAAATTACCTTTCATTTATTATATACCAACTTCTTGCGTTTCCGGATTTAATTTATCGATAAATGCTAGTCACCGTTAAGCACCTGTTTTTGGCAATAGGAAAAACTATTTGTGCTTTATATTTAATCCAAATCACTAGGGTTTTTTTTGTAAAGAGAGTAGAGAATGGGTCCAGTTGTAAGACTCTTTGATTGAGTATATCTCTTTGAATTTATGAGAGAACAGGCCTGTTAACTACTGGCAAAAGGCTCCAGGAGCTGACACCTATACCCATCAAATCCCTAATTCCTTTATCAAGATAAGTTAAAAACAGATGTAACTTAAAAACAATCAAACAAAGGTTTTAGAATAAATCAGAGTAGTTAAGAGAAAAAGCCAAACATAAAGGAAATTCCTACTTTGCCACTTATTATTTTGGTTACGATTTCCAGCATGACTAAAGCAAAGCAGACAAATATATACTAGGAGAAAATACAGAATCCAAAAATTTATGATAAGGAGTCTGGAAGGTCTTGAAATCTTATTCCTATTTTTTCAGGATGTCAAGTATTGTTACACTGTCCCTACTGGTGCTTTAAACCTATACGGGCGTACCATACATTTATGCATCGGAAACGTACCTAGTAATTACGGAAACGTAGTACCTATAGTAATTATATGGGACCCATAACAAACAGTCTGGATGATTCCTGAAAATTTCAAAAAAATCTATAAAGCTTGCCTTCCTTCAGTATTAAAAACTGTGAATGTTAATTACTACCTAATGTCTTTGATAAAAGAGAAATTAAACCAACCATAAGTTAACCACCAATACTATATTAATTACCACAACTATTACCACTAGTGGATCCAAGATTTCATTATAGGGAGGATTTTTTTAGTTATTAAATGCATAATATAATCAATCCTTGCCCATTATAAATATGTTGTATCATTTGTCTGTACAGGACCTATCCTTTTGTAATTTTATGATATGATTAATATTAAATGTACTTGTATCAACTATTTGTTTGAACATATGTATGCAACCATGGTGATGTCCTATTACAATAAAAGTGAAATATAGAACCGTTTAGGTTAAATATCCAATAGAAATTGTGAGGAAACTATACAGACCTTACCTCACACATTTTTATTTTTATTGAATACAATATAAAGAGGAAGGGGAGAATACTAGATTAACTAACCCATATAAAATAATAATAGTCACAATATCAAGCAAATAATACACAAAGAGTCAATTTTAAGAGACATTGTACAGAGAAGTAGATTTGATGATATCAGAAGGCCTTGAAATTCTTTAGTTCACATATTGGTAGGAAGGTAAGAAAGTGAATAACTTAGGAACTTAAGGAACCACCAGAAATATGTGGACAAAAATAGAAGTATGACAGGTTACTAATAAAGAACTAGTCATATCATAACCAGAGAATTCCTGGTAGAACCTAGCGCCAGAAGGAATGACAGAACCATTCTGTATATTAAATAAAATTTATAATTACTGAAAAAGAAGTCATGTTAAAAAATTATAAAATGCAATTGTCCTCAAAAAGATCTCTTAGTACAAAAAAAAAAATGTAATTAAATAAGAACTAGAAAAAAAAATCCACTGCTTCACAAAATGAAAAAATTGCTACAAAATTTGAAAATCATTCTGTATATATATATTTTAAAGGATCATGTTTAATTTATTGAGGTTCTACTAGATATTTATTTTAACTTCATCCAGAAACATCCATTTCTGGCTTTATTTAATATGTGCATTCTCACAATAAAATACATTTATTGATTTGGAGGACTCAGATTAGACAAAAACGAATAGAATTAAACGGACAATACAATATTTTATCTGGGTTGCTTAATTATCTTTGACTACTTACAAACTAACCCTTTATAAAGTTTTACTTAAACCAATTTGGACTTACAGCATAGATCTGTGTGTTCTACTAAAACTTCCAACATAAAAAAAATTCAGTCCTTCCAGTCAAAAGTGTTGCAAAGGATAATTGATGCACCATTTTATGCCGCAAATGGTATACTACATAAAGACTTAACGTACTAACAATTTTAGACACTGCAAAAGAAAACTGCAATAACTTTCATTAAAGACAGACATACAACATGAATCCTCTGACAGAAATCCTTCAACGTACAAGAAACCCCTACAGCCAACCACAACGATTATGTTGACATTGGCCAAGAGACCTGCTGATCTGGATTATATCCTGGATATGACAGGAAGCTGTGAAGCTGCCAAAAAATTTGCTAATTGCAAATTTAATTTAATGTTCAACATTTTTGTTTGGTTAATAAATAAATAAATCCTTTGCTTGCGAATGGGGCACAATAGGCTCAAAGCATACCTGTTCAGAAAGTTCAACATTGACTCTAGTTCCCTCGACGAGTGTGCAGGATCTACACCCAGCAAAGAAGACTGATCTGGCCTTCTACTGAAGTGGAAAGAAAGCTATCGAATCGGAAGCCTGGAGGACTATCGAATTCTTCATTTTAGCTTCTGACGTGGCCATATAATGAAAAATGCAGAAGAAGAAACAACAAAATATTATTAGTTGAAACTGTCATAAATCTGGAAAAACTTTCTTAGTTACTTCAGTCCAAGTAGGGGTGCTGCTTGGGACACAGCTGTTGCTAAACTTAAGCATTATTACAAAAAGAAAAAGGGAGATTAAAAAAAGAAGTTAAAAACATAATAAAATGATTTATTATCAAGAAAACACTTCATAAAATCTAAAATGAATGATCTTTTAACATCAATTAAAATTTTTTTTTAGAAAGTCCTAAAATGGTCTTGAATTGCTACTGTGTGATTCCGTAACTAAATCTGAAAAAGAAAATAACTGTATTAAAAAATATAACAGTTCAGTAATCCCTAAACATTCAGGAGTGTTATGTTCCAGGAAAATCATCTGAATCTCAAATTGCAAATGACCAACAAAGACAATGAAACAAATTTATTTTACAGCGTTGCTTTTTATTATTTAAATGTTGGTATATATATTTCTTAATTTACATATTAATGTGTACATTTGTAAATACAAGTTAATTTTTTTGTCTTTTTGAATTTCTTTTGTTATGGGGTTTACGTTTCCTCTGCTTCTCCCCCTATGAACTTTTAACAAAAACCGGGTAATTTTCTAAAGCTTTTTGAATGATTTGCTGTTAAACCTTAAGTAGGTGTTAATAAATTATGGGAATGTGTAAATCGCCGTTTCATCTACAGTAGAACCCCTATTATCCGAGGTGATAATGGATGTGGGGGTCACGGATAATCGAAAACCATGGATAATCGAATAATAACATTTTATTGACTTGATGTGACAGATAAGAATTTTTTTTTTTTTAAAACTGCAGAAAATCAATTTTATTAACAAACAAATGTTTTATATAAATTAAGTTATAATATACATAAATACATAAGAATGAGTGTTGCTAGCTACATATGTATTGAATTTTCATTTAGAGAAAAATATCAGTAATTTTAATCTGTTTTTTATTAAACATTTCTCTTCTAATATCAGTTCTCATTGCCTGTAGCATGATAATTCTGCTATAATCGGCGTTCTCCTGTTCAAAATAATTTAATAGAAGTTCAGTTGCCTCCAATGGTTGTGTTTGATGTTTTTCTTTTCCGAAATGCCAAAGGACAAGTAAATATTCGTTCTCATCACTCAAGTTTCTGATATCAAACTGCGACAAAGTCAATGACTTGTCTTTTCTGTGGAGATCTACTATTTGTGGTCAGCCAGTTGTTCGAATTCTTCAACATCTATGTCACTCTCCAGCTACTTTCAACACCACAGAATTTTAAACCATTGATAGATGGCTTTATCTACGTCTTTTTTTAATGTAGAGTTGTTCATTGTTTTCCAAGGACACGATGATTGGGCTGACGACAAAACAAAGTCAGAAATGTCTTTTTTCTTCTTAAAAATATCACGAACAGTTTGCTCACCAATTCCTAATTCAGAGGACAAATTTCACCTTTTTCTACTCGGTTTTTAATAGTGAATTTCTGTTCAAACGTTAAAATGACACATTTTCTTTTTTTCTGACATTTTGTTAGTTTGTATTTAAATGGAGACTAAAGCACAGCTGAATTAATAATTTTGTTTTGTAGACAAACAGGTCAGTAGGAATTTCATAAAAAGGTCACAAAAATCTTACCATTCTTAGAATATGAATTAGACTATTAATTACCCGAAACATCTCATTCATTACAATACCAGCTTGCAATGTTTTTCCATTCATTAGTTTTAAGTACAATTATGTAATTTTAACAATTACAATTAATAAAATAATCTTAAATATTCATTTTTTTAAAATAAATATTGGGTTGGCTAATAAGTCCTTTCAGTTTTTCTGTTTATTTTTATGTCATTATGATAAACTTCTTATCTGCTGAATTAATCCCTAAGCTGGATTGTTTATCCTGTTTGTAATATGTCAACAACTATATCTGTTGAAACTAGCTTAGTATTGTGTTTGCTATTGCACAGTGAATATGAAAGAAAATATCATTCATTATCGGCACATTTTGTTGTATTATTTTAAAAAAGTTATGCGTGCTCATAGAAAAAATTGCAGTGTTTATGGGGATGATGCCTTAACTGAACGCACTTGTCAAAATTGGTTTGCCAAATTTCATTCAGGAAATTTTGACATCAATGATACTCAACGGTCTGGTTGCCCACATGAAATTGAAATGAGCAATGCTAAGGCCATTGTTGATCAAAATCTCACCCAATCAGTGCGAAAATTGTTATGGCCCCAAATGTGTCGCATACAAGCGTATAAAACCATTTGCACAAGCTCTGCTATGTTTCCAGGCTTAACGTTTGGGTCCCTCACTCTCAAACTGAAGTCAACTTGGCAACACTCATTTCTGTTTGTGATTCACTATGGAAACGGCTACAAAATGACCCATTTTTGAAAAGGTTGATAACAGGAGTAAAAAATGGATATTTTACGATAATGTACTCCGTAGAAAATCTAGTAGTGAGGCTTCTAGAAGAATGTCAAAACCCGGATTACATTCAAAGAAAATAATGCTTTCCATATGGTGGGATTTCAAGGGTGATATTTTCTATAAGCTATTGCTAGCAGGACAAACAATTGATTTAACTCTATACTGCTCACAATTAACAAAATTGGATCAATCAATTAAAAATAAATGTCCAGAACTGGCAAATTGGAAGGGTGTTGTGTTTCATCAAGACAATGCTAGGCCCCACACCTCATTGGTCACTCGCCCCACCCTCCCTATTCACTACATCTAGCTCCAAGTGACTACCACTTATTCCCGTCTCTGTAGAACTCCATGAATGGAAAGAAATTCTAAAAGGAAGAGGACATCAAAAACCACTTGGATCAGTTTTTTAACCATAAATTCCAGACATTCTTTGAATATGGTATTATACAGTTAGTGGAAATATGGGAAAAAATTCATATTAAATAATTGTCAATATATTGTAGAGTAAAATAAATTTTATGTCTATAATACATTGACTTTTATTTCATCCTAAAAACCTAAAGGACTTATTTGCCAACCCAATAGTAAACATATAAAATAAATGGTGTAAAAATTAAAAAACAATATTAAAAAAAAATTAAATTGGCCCTTAGAAACACCAGTTAATAGAGCCCTGGATAATGGGGGTTCTACTGTAATTAGACACGGGCCTACGTTGGAATAAGCTTTATAAAAATTTGCTGTATGATGACTAAATTATTTTTAAAACATTTAGCTGTTTCTTCTGATGTGGATCTTACTAATATTTATCATTAAATTAATTTTAAATAACTGACAGAAAATGTTGCTTTCATTAACAAACAGAAATTGAATTTTTTAATGAATTTTGTTCCAAACATTATATGAATGAAAACAAATAAATATATAGAGAAATATGCTCAGCATTTATAGTGTATAATTGTTTTATCTTAATATTCTTGCAAATCTATTCCTTTTGATTCTCTATTAATCCAAGGTTAAAGTTTAGTTTTTGAATAAAATAATTCAAATTACCTTGATAGTAAGATTCTCCATTTGGGCCAGTAAATTTCCATCTTTTGGTTGTTATCTCATAAACTGTTCTCCTCATCAATCCTTAAAAATAAAAAAAAATATGAAAATAAAATAAGAACAATAATTTATACAATAATTTAATGAAGGAACCATTACTAAAAAATGATATCGGAGAAAAATCAGTACATGGGTTGCTTAGTACTTACAAAAGCAGTTACATGATATAATTGATTTTTTTAAACAAAGAAATGAAGATATTGTGCAAAGACGAGATGCTTTTCGTCAAAGGAAAAAGACATTAATGAGCATTTTCAAGTAATTACTTTTTCTTGTAATAGTTCCTCTTATTTGGTTATGAAATCTACAGTTCCATGATTATCCTCATGTTGGAAAAAATGAACTAGTTATATATATATAAATAGTGTTGGTTTTTACAAATATTTTATTCAGATTTTGACCTCAATAAATCTGTCATTTTTTTTTGGTGATTTTTCCCAATCCTGATGATAAACCATTATAAAGATATTTTTTAGATGTTTTGAAAAATTGAAGATGAATCACCCAATAGTGCCATCAGTGTTGACTCAAAACTAAGATATTATATTTAACTCTTAGGAATTAATGTCCTTTGTGAAGTTTTTCAATATTTTATTATAATAACATATTCAATCTTATTAGACTAATTAAATACAAATAATAACAGTAATAAATTTACCATGCCCATATAGAGGTACGTTCGTAGGATAACTATTTGATATTGGTGTACTGCTTGATACAGGAGTATTTGGTATTACTAAACTATTGTTCATATTTCTCAAGTCATTATCCACATCCATGTTAGCTAAGAAATTAAAGAAACAATCTTTAGTTAAACTATAGATAATCATCACAGTAAAATCTAATTTTCATATGTGAAATTTACAATTACTATTATTTTCTTTAACATCATCTTCACTACTTCTTGTTTGACTTCTTAAAAGCCTTCCAGAAGGATTACCTGAATTAAAAAAAAAAAGAAAGAAAAAAAAAAAGGAGAATCTATAGTGGAGTATGAAAATTAAGTATTTACAATTTAAAATTTAGATCTTTAAAATGAAAAATAATAGAACATAAAGTGCTACCTAATCATATTAATACCTTATGTCAAATAATGAATTGTATAAAAAGAATGACTGATTTTCAATTAAAATGTTTAGTATAAAACAAAACAGATATTATAATAAAAAGATGGTATAGATATAAAAAATATTACAATTTAAACTTCTTCAAAATTATTAAATGTTTCTAATGGTGAAGTAATAGCTGAATATAGATGATATAGTTGTAAAGTTAGTTTGAGGTTTTATATTCAATGAGAAACACAATTGAAGATTTAAAAAAATTATTTTATTTTGTGTTGACTTTTCGGCCTAAGTTTCAATCTTTTATCAGAGCAAATCGTGTGAAGCATGTCACATGAATGCCTAATGATTCAGACAATCGAATGACATTCTCTGCAAGAGATGCTCTAATAAATGATAATACTAGATTTCAACCTATTGATTTATATATCCCTTCTCATAAAACTACTTTCTCCGGCAAATCCTTCTTCATTCGTGCCACCTCCTTCTGAAATTCTTTACCTATTACTATACGGCAATCCTCATCCATAAATTCCTTCAAACAACTTTTATTCCACCAACTAATTAATTTTTAAACTTCCGTACCTATGTAATACTACCCCCCCCCCCCAATCCTATAGATAAAGTGAGCATAATTGAAAAGGATAAACATTAAATAAAATGATCTTTATTTAAGTGAATAAACCTTTCTAGTTTAAATCTATTGTGAATTTCCTCGATTTTGATGTAACTGCTAAAGGTCACATCCAAAGAGCAGATTCTCACAGAGAACCCCTAGTCTTATGTTGTATCAAAAGAGTAACAACTAAAAAAGTAACTGATTGAAGTTAAGTAACAAGGATATTAGAATAATACAATGGGTTGGTGATGGTTGTCGTGGAGAGCTGCCGTAGTAGCATGGGTGACTAGAATTGAACGATGCCAGATATTTTACAGATAGATATTTAAAAGAGACTAGATGATGAGGTCAAAGGGAGAAGAGAAGGGTCCTATGGTTCTGAAGGAATAAGTCATCTGAAAAAGTAAACAGAAAGCGAGGCGATTTGAAAGGTCAATAATTAGATATGGTGGTTCTTCATTGTCTCTTTATCTGAGAAATCTTAATCTTCATCTTAAACAAATCATTTCTAAAATTCTATGGGAATCAATCCTATGAACACTTCATAACTGTCTATATTTGCAGGGCTAATCATAAATGTCAGCAGCATGTACTTAAGTACATAGTCAAAGTACCCTTTATCTCCAGTTTGAATAATTCCATGTGTTACTTTAGCAGTTATATTGTTTTTAATATTGTCAATATTTTTTTTTTTTTTTTTTTTTTTTTAGAAACTAAATGGTTTAGTAGAGTTTTAACTCTAAAAAAAAACCTGTACTACTAAAACCCATGAAGGATTAATTCTCCAAATGTATGTTAGAGTGAGGGAATGTACCATATGCAAGTACAGGTATGGTTGTCCAATGTAATTGTTGTGTATCATATTAAACATGTCATAAAAATGTAAACATGTCACATTAATGGTAAATAAAAAGTATGAAATTTTAAAACATTTCTAACAAACACGAAAAGTTCTCATTTGTCAAAGAGCGATCCAGGTCAAGCAACGATACAAGGCATACATATCATAATTATTATAATAAGTCATCTGGCCAGATTTATTGTAAATTGGTTTAAACAATATTGTTATTCTCAAGGGACCTAGTACTAAAATAAGATGATTTTCTATTTCTACATAAACAATTAAAAAGAATACAATGAAACATTCATCAAGAACATGGGTCTTGAACCAATTTCGCATGTGGACCGTATGGACACATACACTACATGGGCCACGACTAAATTACCAGGCCTCGGTTAAGTATTATAAATTAATAAATTTATTGTTATTTATCAAAATTGTCTGAAAAACAAAAGAATACACTTTCTTATATTATTTTAGTTCTTTGATAATACCAATCCAGGAACAGCTTATTGATATCCTACCTACTATACTTGTTTTGTTTACTGATTCCTCGCCAGTCATTATAAAACAATATAAATCATCGACAGCAATCACTTCCAAAATAATGAATGGTTTTGCATTGTTACTTACTTGTCTTAGGAGTTCTTTTCTTAAAATCTCCGGAAACAGAATGTCGCCCTGGAAACAAAAACATAAATAAAATTATCAACATTAACTAATTTGTCGGAAGACTGCAGGGAAATATCTTGATCATAAATAAAATTTATGGTGTGATTTAAAAATCATTTGAGTAACCTTAAACTGAATGTGTTTAATGATGTTACCAAGCTTGTAATAATATATAGCTGAATGCTAAATCTGAATATATAGCTAAATCACTTCAATGTATGTTAAAATCAGTTAACCCATTCATGAGATAAGTGACTAAATAATAACAAAATACATTTTTGGACTCAGAGGGCTCTAAAACACAAGGATCTGTTGACAACCAAACATAAAAAATTAGACCAGATTGCAATATTTTCCTTACCAAGTAGGGTTAGGCGTACCACTGATGGAAATAGCTAAGGAAGTTTTTGTCTTTTTTGGATTATGCCGCCATAATTATTATAGTTATAAACCTCTCTGTTGGACATTTGGAATCTCAAGGGTGTCCTTTTTCTATTTAGAAGTTTGAAATTAAAAAACATATTCAGTTATGGAGGTATAATCTCCAGTTAAAAAAACAAAATACTCTTTTGCACTAGTGATAGACACACAGAACTTCAATTGTTCTAGTAATAGACAGAGGGTTGGTATCAGTAATGGACAGAAAAATTCTAAAGTTTTATTTAACTGTAGAGATAAGATTTCATAAATTTTCATCTTACTCTTAGCAAAACTGTTAGTATGAAGGTATGAAACACACTGATCTCAAGAGCACTATATACAAACAATGATAGGCATTTCAAAATTTTCAATAGAGGGCATTGTTCTTCAATCTAGAAAAAACTAGAACCTTTAAATCAACAAGGAAGCTTATTATTTACATTTAAAGTCCAACCTGTCCATCATTGGGCCCCTTGTCTGTAACTGGTGCGTTCATCCTAGTCATGTAGGAACGTATAAAAAATGTCAGTCGAATTTAACAATAATAATGAATAATGCTGAAATTCTATCTTCTCTATGTCATCTCTTGCCATTAATCAGCATCCCTGTTCATCATCCAATGTAATAGTATAAGTATTAATGAGTAGTTTGGTTCAAAAAAATAATGACATGAAAAACTATATATGATAAATTGTGATATCTCTTTATTATTCTCGATTTAGTTGGTAGTATCTTTCAAAGTAATGTTGAGCCATACAGTTTATTTTTGTAGACCCTAAGTTCTTAAACTGAGGTCTATGGATCCCTTGCTAAGCCATTGCTAGGGATTCATAAATCAATTTTGAAATCACCTTTACATCTCCCAATTTTTTGCTTCTATTCAAATGACTCATTTAACAAAAATCTAAGACTTTTAGAATTTGTTATTAATAATCCCTGTTTTATTAAATTAAATTAATGATAAAATAAAACTGAAATGATTTTAATTAACTACTTACTAGGTCCAGATAAATAGAATTCTGGTTTTTCTTGATTATGATGATGAAGGTGGGACCATGGAGCAGTTGTTTTCTTTCTTGGTGTTGTCGTGCAATAATCTGAAAAAGAGAAGACATTTTTAGGCACATTTCTGAGCAAACTAAACTTAAACTAAAACAGCAGATTGGCTAATTTTATGAATTTTACATTTGTATTCATCAAAGTAGTTTGGGGTTTATGACAATAAAAATGTAAAAAGTACTAAACTTTTCTGATGTATATTTTCTAAAATGAATGTTAAGAAAAAATTTAGCTGCAATAGAATCAAGTGATAAAGGACGTATATAGGATTGCGATCATACTTTTTAAATGATGAAAAAAAATTCATATTTAACTAAAAACTTAAAATTACAGTACGTCTCAGAGGAATAGTCCTGGGTCCACTGTAGTGTGACACAAATGGCTGCTAAACACGATACTGTCGAAGAGTCACTCAGCTCTACTGAATAAATATCCATTTATAGAAGCTAATAAAATACATTTTGAACTATATGTATTTACTCAAAGACGACAGGATGAAAGAAAAAATGGAAATATATTTTTTGGATTTAAGTTAAAAACATGGATTCAATAAGCTAAAAAATATAATATATCAAACAGTATATGAGCTAAGGCCTTGGCAGCCTATGACATAGTCCTGTCTCACTTTCATGATGTATTGGGTTGTACAGAAAATAATGCAGGATTTTGGTTTAAAAAGAAAGATTTATAACTGTTTTATTTAATCAAAACAGTCTCCAGTACTATCAATACATTTCTACCAACATGTTGGCAACTTTTCCATTCCCTCAGAATACAATTTCCCATCTTTAGAATTGATAAAGTCCGAACACGCGTTTTTTAATTCCCTTTATCCATTCCATTTTTTTGTCATATAAGTAGAGGTGTAGGTGTCTAAAAAAATTATAATCTGTAGGCGAGAGGTCCGGAGAGTAGGGCAGATGAGGTAGAGTTCCAACATCACATCATCAACGTCACATGTGAGACCTGTGGCTGGCGTTGTCATGCAACAAAATCGGCCCCTTCCGATTGACCAAAGATGGCTTCATTATTGCCAATTTCTGATGCATTGCATTAATTTGGTTACAATACGATTTAGCATTGATGGTTTCTTAAGGGTTTATGAAGCTATAGTGTATCAAACCCATTGAAGCCCACCAAACAGTATCACCTTTTTTTGATGAGCTGGGAGGCTTTGGAAAATTTTCTGCTGCTTCTCCTTTCTCGAGTGTCTGTCCAGAACATCTAATGTTATCGTGAAATAGTGTAGCACAAAGTTCATACCACTGTTTTGTTTTTTTTCTGTCATTGGTTGCTAATTTGCTAAGGTGCTAATCACTGATTGTTGATTTGTTAAGGTTAAGTTTCCCTGCAAGTTCTCAAAAGTTGTTCTGGGGTTTTCTTTCACCAAAGCCTGCAGAACATCGTCATCAAGAGAGGAAGTCCTTCCACGACTTTCTTCATCTTCAAGGCTGAAGTCTCCCTCCCAAAATTTTTTGAACCACTGTTGAACAGTGCACTCATTACTGCTGCTCTCGCCCCAGACTTGATTGATGTTTCTGGCGGTCTGGGGCCCATTTCAGTCGAATTTAAAGTCGTAAAACAAAATTATATGAAAATTACGCGTTGACATCTTAGTAAAGATTGAATTATTTCAAAGCAGCAAAATGCTACATAGGTAAACAAACATTATAATTTGGAAAAGGATTAAAAAGTGTTGACAGTTACACAAATGAATAATTCAGTTAATGTAAAAAGTTCGTTATATACAGGTATTTTACAGAAAATTCAAAATCCTGCATTATTTTACAGATAACCCAATAGCTCTGTTCCCACCATTTTTCGTTAATGCTAATTATTTTTGCAATAAGGAATCAGACAAATTCGGGACGTTTTGAGTTTTTTATTGTTATAACCTAATTTTCACTGATAATTCATGCAAGTACCCCACTGCCAATGGAATTATGCCTAAATATCATAAACAATATTAAATCAAGAGTCCGAAGTTCACGAATATTTAAACTAATCAGTTTCCGCTATTATCAGATAATGGATTAAGTAATGAATCCTCACTATTTTACACTGAAGGAACGGTAATATCTTGGCATGCATCAGAACAAATTGCATTTTTTTTTTTTATCAACTCATCATCGACGAATACAAATTAAAAATTTATAAAAGCAATTAATTTAATGACAAGTAGATGTTTGTACAAGAGTTAATAAACCTATAGAATTGCTATCCCAAAATGATCTTACTACTTACTAGATCCAGATAAATAGGGCTTTGATGCTTCTTTATCATGGTAACCACCAGGTGAAATAGATACAGTTGGTGTAGTTTTTTTCTTTCTCTGAGTTTTATCACCATGATCTAGAAAATAAAATTATAACTCATTAAATCTGGACTATATAACTAATTTTAAAGACATGTGTTGAATTCTTTGAAAGTGGTGTTAACCCAATCAATGTTATATAGAGATATTTAATCATCTTATGTAAATATTAAATTGATTCAAATTTATAATGTGATGGCCTCAACTTACAACAGTACTAAAGTAAACAAATTGTCAAACTCCTACATTTATCTAGGGATAAATTTCAATTGAATCAAATCAAAAATAGTGAATTAAAAAAAAAAAACACTACAATCCATGAAGGGTCTTGGATTCAGTTCTATGTAGGGAAATTATTGTTCCTTGGTGAACAGTTGTGCAAGGAGGTGATTTTGAATTTTAATAGTGAATTAATCATCAGTAATTTTAGAGGTAACAGACTTATTTACTTTAATTTAAGAGAACAAACAGAAAGTATAATTAAGTTTTATATTCTACAATAAACTGGGGAGTATGACAGTGAAACAATTTAAGTATTTATTGGAATTGTTAAATTGCAATGGAGAGAATAGGCAATTAATGAGGATTAGAAAAGAAAAATGAGATAAATTAAGATTTGTAAAAAATATATATATACTGTTCATAAAAAAATAATCATAAATAAAATAGCACATTGCATTCACTGTTATCATTTACTATCTTTTTGTGAAAAATGGAGTTATGCCACTTTCAAAGAAAACAGCTGATATAATTCAAACCAAATTAAATTCCCAATGTTACATCCTTACCATAGCCTACAGGAGCAATAGAAGAACTCCTCCTACCCCTTGAAATGGACTCACGATGTCTAACTGCAAAAAAAAATTAAAAACATTAATATATCGAATATTATGGTTGGTTGTATGATAAAGGCGTAAAACCTGTTGATCATCAACACCGTTAATTAAAATTATTTATTATTATATCTTCTGGTTGTGAATAATAGGAATAAAATTAAATTTAAAAAAAGAATAAAAAATCTGGTGTGTCCACTCACACGACTTTCCTGCATATTTCAGAAAAGTTTTTATTTCTTTACATATGTTCATGAAGAAACAAAAAAAAAAAAATTGAATTAGATTCATTTTCCTGAAAATTGATCAAAGAAAAGATTTGAGTACGATTTGATAAACTAAAGGAATGTAAACCGGCTTAAGGTAGATCAGTATAAAAATTTCAATACTCTCTAATATTGTTGATCAAAAACTTTTTGCCATAGCTTAATTTTGTCAAACAATAGTTTCTGTTAAAAGTAGAGGAAATAGTGAAGCTTGTGTGATGCGGGCAACAGATTTTCTTACTTTCAATCAGTCCTCTTTTTTTCTCTCATTCACCCCTTTCTCACATCAGAATATGAACCCGTAATATTGGAATATTACATTGGAAATTGAATGGCTGTAACTTGATTAATAGTTTCTAAAATGAATGAGTTTTATATAGTTTTGTAGGGAATTTCATTACGTTTAAAAAAAAACAGGCTAAACGGAGCAACGAATTTCTGTCACAGGCATCAGTAGTTCCCGAGAAATTCTTGGCACAGACAGACAGACCAATGGCTAAAAATGTGTTTTCGGACTCAGGGGACTCTGAAACGTATAGATCCGTCGAAAACCGCATATCGGAAATTTGACACGATCACAATACTTTCCTTAGTATAGGTAGGAAAATAAAAAAAGGTACTAAAGAATGAAGAAAAGCTCACTTATTTAAAAAAAAAAAATGAGTATAACATGTTATTCAAAGATCTATAATACATTCTTCTTACACTCACCAGGATCAATTTAATTTAATAATTAATTTAAATTAGTTTAAATTAAGTAATTTAAAAAATAAGCATAACATGTTATTCAAACATTTATAATACATTCTTATTATACTCACCAGGATCAATTTAATTAAGTAATGAATTTAAATTAACTTAATTTAATTAATTAAACTTAATTTAGTTTAAATTAACTAATTTAAAAAAATAAGTATAACATGTTATTCAAAGATCTATAATACATTATTATTACACTCACCAGGAGCAACAGAAGAAGCTCTTTTACGCCTTTGACTTGTTTCACAATCATCAACTGTAAAAAAATAAATATCCAAAATCAAAATTATACAATAATAACAATAATCATTCATGATTCAATTAATAATTTGATTAATACTGACAAGGAGTAACAGAAGCAGATCTTCTTCCCATTTTGTTTTCAGAAAAATCATCTGACAAGTAAAAGAATTTTAACTTAACAAAAAAAAAATATGGATAATTATAGATTTTAAAGTAAAATAATAAAATTATGAAACAAATTTATGAGGTAAAAGACTTACTAGCAACTTTAGAAGAATCCTTTCTGCTTCTGGAGTTAGATAGACGCTCTGAACAAAAAGTATCAGTAATACATTTAATGAAGATAATATTCAATAACAAATATTAATTTGAATTTTTCTTCTTCTTCTTATATATATTTAATATAAATTTTATTTATCTTATATGATAAATATCATTAAGGAGGGGAGAATTTTTATTATTAGGGACTGTATTTAGATGATGTAATGATCAGGAAGCCACAATTTATTTTAATAATCCAGCCAATTTGTTTAATGTATAGGTATAAATTTTTATTTTTAAAGTGTCGCAATAATGAACAGAATTAAAACCAGAGAAAGAACAGCATTTGTGAAAGTCACACATGAATAAATAATATTCTGCGACTTAAGTTTACTAAGTGATAATGTTCAGAAATAATACACAGTAGTCTGGCAAGATAACTACAAAATGAGACTTGTTAAATAACTGTAAATAATAATTGTTATTACAATTAAATAATGCTTAAAGAGAAGCGGTAGTTTGAATAAGAAGCAGGTATCAGAATATTTATTCAAAGGAATTTATGGAAGATTATCAATATATGAAGATTTACATAAGGAAGTAGCAATGATAGTTCACGGATGAAGAAAAATTTGCTGAAGGAAATTGTTTTATAGAAGGGGATGTATAGATAAATATGTTGAGATCTAGTGTTTAGAGAGTGAATAGAGGAACGTAGATAAGTAATTCTAGAATGTAGGGAGGTGTTTTAGTTCTAAGGATCTAGGAAAAGAAAACGCTGAGGAATAGTCATCAGGAAGTAGGATAGAGCCACTTCAATTTGATGTAGCAACAGGAAACATAAAGCACATGCACTCTTGTAGGCTGCACATAGGCTATACATTTCCACTTATGATATATCTTAATTTACAATTTTTAAAAATAGTTTAAGTACTACCTCTAGAATTGACAAAAGAATCCTTTTTGCTCCTTGAACTGGATTCGTAATTATAACCTGGATCAAAATATTTTTATTGATTTATTAGCATATTAAATGAAGATAATAATAATATTCTATTATGATAATACTGACTGGGAGTAGTGGATGATGCTCTTCCCTTTTCTGCATAACCTGAAACAAATATTAGTTAATTTAATAATTATAGGACTATCTTAAGGGAAAAATTGTTAGTGCACATGTGTCTTACGTTAACCTTTTGTTACTGTAATATAACAATATAAGTCAACCGAAGTTGGGGTAACAATGTACCATTTTAAGGTTACATCCAAAATTAAACGATAAGAGTGAATAATCCTGGTATACATATTTTCATATGATAGGCTTTTCAAACCATCCATTTTCATATGGATCTACTATACCATATTTTTATAATAATAATGTATAGTTGTATGAATATTTATTAGACTATGAGATTCCGTGATGATACATTTACATTATTGTTATAAAATTCATTCAGTTCTTAAATATAATTTTAAAATATGAGGAATGAAGTGGATTTGAATATAAGTGGAATGGACGAAATAAAATAACATTCTAAATAAAAATGTAAAATAACAGCATAAAATAAAGATACGTTCAGTGAGGGAGGAAATATCCTCTAAACATGGACAACAAAAAATAGACAGAGATGTCTGGAGGTCAACCTGGCTATCTGTTTTACCAGCAATCTCTAGTTGCTTTCATCCTAAGTGCTCTTGTTTTCGCACAGTCATTTGAATTAGGCTCAGTCCCTTACTCTATCTCCATTCCTAGAATGTTTCAAAGCTTAAAAATCAATTATTTTTTCTACTTCAATAAGTTTGGAAACAGACCCATAAGATAGAGTGAACGACAGCTATCTCATTAGAGAAACTAAACTTTGTTAATATATATAAACTAACATTATATAGGAGAGAAGAATAGTTGGGGTGATCAGTCAAATAAGAAGGCAAAAATAAATTATACTATTTATTTTGACATTAGCCGATGTTTCGACCTGAAGTTCAGGCCATCATCAGGGCTAAGAAAAGAACCAGATAACAAGGTATGAGAAACATAAGTAGTGTAGGGGAAAAAAAAAATTAAAGTAAAATTCAGTTGTTAGAATAATGACAATAGTAAGAACAAAGAGATAAATGATAATAAGCGATACAATTTATGTTTCTCATACCTTGTTATCTGGTTCTTCTCTTAGCCCTGATGATGGCCTGAACTTCAGGTCGAAACGTTGGCTAATGTCAAAATAAATAGTATCATTTATTTTTGCCTACTTATTTGACTGATCACCCCAACTTTTCTTCTCTCCAATATTCACGACAGTCAACCATTTACCAATTATGAATCTAACATTACATAATATATTTAATATCATGTAGTATTCATAATAATACCACTGAAGTCTCTTTAGTCACTTGATTTTTTTTTTTTTTTTATTATATATTTCGATAGTTTTCAAGAATTTAATAAGTCGTGAAGTTGTGTCTGGGTCCTGTCTCAATATTTGTTCTGGGTCTGTGGAAAATCTATAGGAGTCGTGAGCCATACACTCTGTTAGCATGTGAAGCACAGTTAGAATACACCCGCAGTAGGAACATGTTGGCAGTACTTCCTTCTTCATCAGATATCCATGGGCTAGTCGACAATGGCCAATCTTGAGGCCAACTACCTCTTCTCTCCATGATAGCTGTAGACTTTTTATTGGATATTTAACATATTGCTCAACTTTTCTTAATTTATTTTCTCTCATGACAAACCATTGATTTTACCACTCCAGCCATCTTTTTTCATTGATCCAAGGTATAAGATCGTGACGATCACTTATTGAAAATACTTGACCACTTTTTATTGCTCTTTTCGCCTGTGTGACTGCATTTTCATTTTCAGGAATTCCACTGTGACCAGGTATCCATAAAACAATACTCTACAACCAGCTTCTTTCAATGTTTTCAATCCTATTTTTATTTCTTTAATTAGAGGATGTGAGATTAAGGTGCCTAGTAGACATTGTAGGGCAGATTTAAAATCTGAACATATGACCGAGCGAGGGTAATTCGCAGTTATATTGCAAAATAATAATTATAATAATATTATTATACACTATAATAATATTATTATTAATATTTATAAAGATGAAAAAAATTGTCAATGAAAAATATTTAAATGACTGCATGAAAACCAGAGCACATAATTAACACAAAAGGCACTATAAATCGTTAGTTGACAGACAGCCAGGTAAATCTCCAGACACTCCTGAAATAAACAAAAGAAAGAAATAATAACAGAAGATTTCAATCATTATTTACTTCATACACATAATAAAGACAAATATTACAAAGTTGATACTTACTGTCTACAACTGAAGAAGACCTTCTTCTTGAATAAGAATTGGAATAGTCTCCTAAAAATATATAAATTTCCACAATAATATATTAATATATAATTCTGATTTAGAAAGATAATAACAATACTAACCAGAAGAATCTAAAGACTTTCTTGGTGTTTTTTCAGAATTTTCTTCTAGAAAAAAAAATTAATTAAAAATATAAATGTTATTTCAAGAATAAGTAAGGTGTGAATCTGCAACATATTAATGATTAAATAGATTGTCAAACTGTTCTCAAAGCTCCCATCGGGAGATATGCAAAGACTTTGGATATTAAAAAAAACATTTAATTTTTCTTATATGATCAATGAGCTCAAAATATAAAGAATAAAATTTATTTTGCATTACATATTAGATAACTTCCCATTTTAAGTCAAAAAAGATTTTTAGGTGGATCTTTGTTTTTGAAATTAAGTGTTTTTTATCTTTATCTTATATGAGAGACTTTTTATCTTAAGCCTCTCATAGTAGTAAATAAGTAAACACTTTGCCAATTCAAGCATCATTGGAGTAGGAAAAAATAACATAAATACAGGAACAGAGGCAACATATTAACTCACATCGACAGATAAAAAATAAAATAAAACCGAAAACTTTAATAATAAAAATTGGATTTTCTCTTGGTTTATAATCCTAGGAATGTTTTTTTTGTTGTAACTTTATATTTATAAGAGGGTTCAATATTTTTTTGAAAATATTTCGTTAAAGATTTGCCATGATTATTCAAAAATTTCTGTGAAACTAGAAATAAATAAACAACGATGCTTCTGTACAAATTTGGCTGCTTATTTCTCTGTTGGCATTACAGACCATGTAAATCTTTTGCCACCTTAACAAGCTTGCTCCATCTCTGTCTGTCTTGGGCTGTCTTTCCATTTATCTGCATACAGCTCTGTTGCATCTTTGTTGATTCTATTTATCCATCTGCTTTTTGGCCTTCCAAGTGGTCATTTGCCTTCTATTAAGGCATTTGTTACGCAGAGGCTTCCAGGTTCCAGGCCCATCTTTACCTCCGTGCCTTCATATCATGGAATATTGATTGACCAGTTTCTGTAAGCAATTCTTTATTGGTCTTTCTTCTCCATGTGTTAGTACTCTGATCCCAGATCACTCCGGTTATCGTGCAGAGGATTTTCATCTCAAATCTTTCACTATTTTTTCCTAGGGGGCTGGTTAGTGTTTAGGTCTCATAGCCATTTATTAGAACTGGCTTTATCATAGCATTTTACACCCTTAGTTTGAGATTTCCTGATTTTTTTTTTTTTTTCAATATCTTTTGAGAGGGAGAAGAAAGCTCTGTTAGCACTAGTTATAAGCCTATTTCTGCCCGTTGGTAATTCATCAAGGTTATTGTGGAGCCGAGGTACTTGAATTTTTTTACTCTCATGATTGATTTTCCTTCTATGCAGATCCTGTTATTGGAATGGAATTTTTGGCTTATTGTCATATATTCTATTTTGTCTTCATTTACTTGTAGTGTAGGCCGATCTGCTCTGCCTCTCTTATCAGTGTTGTAGAGAGTTTCTCAATATTTTCTTGATTACTTCCAAGGACAGCTATATCATCTACTTATCCAAGGATTTTATGATTCATTCCAAGGTAGACCCCTCTATTTTCCTGTGATGTTGCTCTTATTACCTTATCTAAGATTAAGTTAAACAACATCGGTGATAGTACATCTCCCTGCCATAGGCCCATTCGAACTTTGAAGGCTTTAGATACTTCTCCTACAACTCTACATTTGGGATCATTTGTATATGCCTTTGTCAATCTCACCAATTTACCGGGAATACCCATTTCAGTCATGATTTTCCAAAGATAGCTCCTGTCCACAGAATCACAGACTTCTTTGAAATTGACAAATAGGGCGTGGACGTCCTGAGCTCCTTCCTATCGTTTTTCGATTACTTGTTTTAGGATGAAGATCTGGTCTAGTGTGCTCCTCCTATTTCTGAATCCAGCTTGATCGCCGGATATATTATATATCCGGTTTAGTATAATATTAGTCATTATCTTGTAGGCAACCGGAAGGAGTGCTATGCTTCTGTAATTACTACACTCATACATGGAGTCTTTCTTTAAGATAGGACAGATTAGGCCCATATACCTACCCTCAGGTATTCTTTCCTCTTCCCATATTTTCTGGATTAGTTGTAGTAGTTTATTTCTTAAGTCATCTTCTCCATCTTTAAACAGTTCTGATGGTAGATTGTCTATCCATGGGGCCTGTCTTTCAATAGCTATTGCTACATCCAGTATATCGTGTATCTCAACCTTGTCTGGATCAAGGTCCTCAGTGTGGTCCATGTCTTCTTTGTTCGTGGAGTCCCCTTGATTGAGAAGTTCCTGGAAATGTTCCTTCCAGATGTTCAATATACTTTCTTTAGATCTGAATGCCATAATTTCCTGGCATTTGTGTATTTTTCACTTTATATCCTACCCTTTCTTTTCAAATGTCAGCATAGAATTCGTGTGTATCTCCAGCCTGCCAGTTGTCCTCGATGGTTTGCAATATTTCTTTGAGCAATTCTCTTTTTGCCGATCTTATAGTTTTGTTTGCCATTTTCTTGGCAACTGTATACTTGTCCTGAGCAACTTGATCAGTTATAGTTAGGCAAAGGACTTTCATTTTTCTTCTTTCCTCTACTGCCTTTTTGCATGTTTTTGTGAACCATATCTTAGCTCCTAAATACCGATCACTTCCTAATCTGTTTCTTATAGTCCTTTCTCTATTTCCTCCCAATGTTGGTCCACCATGAGACTATCCGAATCCAAGGGTTCGAATTTATTTTTCAGCTCAAGCTGGAATTTGGTTGTTATTTCAGGATTTTTCTAATTACGGATTTCATACTCCCTTCTTTCTACTCGATCCCCTGTTGTGTGAATTTGCTTATTATAGGCTATATTTAACTAGTGATAATATTATACTTTTAAACAAAGTTTAATAATATTGTCCATAAGACCCGTATAATGATGTTTTAAAGCCTCAAAATGAGTGTAATACATCATAGGCAGGTATTGTGCAATATACAATGTGTAACATGAATTTTAATAGTGATGGGAATATTTTTAGTTAACATAATGATACATCATTGGAGATATTTTACTAATGGAATTAATAATATTATTTATAAATAATGTTAAATGTAAATGATTCCGAATTATACTCACTAAGCGATGTTGATCTAGATTTCTTACTGCTTCCTTCAGATTTAAAATAGTTATCTATGAAAATATTAATTAAATTTATCAGTTTAGAATTAATAAATTTGTGAAAGAAATATAATAAATTTTTAAATCTGTTTAATTTAGTAATACAAACCAGGAGCAGACAAAGCGGCTTTCCTCTTTGTTCTATCATTTTCTGATGAGTCTAAAAAAAGATTACTTATTATTAATTATAATAAAACCTACCCTTCTTGGACATAATATGGACAAATAAGGCGATAGTTTAAAGACTAAAAATTCAAACATTTCAATGCACATTGATTCAAGTGCCTAATTACAGTAAATAACAGATGACAAATTATTATAAAAAAAAAAATTTTTTCTTCAAATATTGTATGTCCAATAATGGGTTGAATTGAATTGAAAAAACAACTAATCGTGCCCAAAATTTGAGAATTGAATACAATGAAACTACTGATGACATGATGGGCAAACACGTTGGGAAAGCTTCAAGAGTCAGATTCCCATTTGGGACAGTTAATATTTATTTCTTGGCGTTATTTTAATATTTTTAAAATAAGAATCGTTTCATAAGAAAGATTATTCGGGGTATTATGTCTGATAATGACTGCTTTGTTATGAACATAATTGACAAAAATTATGTCTTTAAATTTAAATTTCCTGCTATCAGTGATGTTAACTAAAAACTACTAATAGCGTTACCTTAATTAAGTTCTCCATCTTTATTCCAAGCCATCTATAATATATAAGATTCTTTTGTTATTATACTCACCATTAGGAAATGAAGGTGCTGTCTTGTTTTTATGTTCAGATTCAAAAAAACTATCTAAAAACAAATTAATACTCATTGAGTTGTCTTAATATTGTTGTTACAAAAATTAATAAATTTTAATTGGTTGAAATACTGACCTGGTGTAATTGAGGATGCTCTTCTTCCTCTGGATTGTTTTGCAGAATGTTTACCTGAAAGTTTAATCGACAACAGTCAATATGGGTCATATTGATATTAATTATTCACTGATATTAACTATCTGGTCATATAACATCAACATAAAATGGATTGATTTGAAATGAAATGAAAATATATTTTATTATTTTGGGACTGTTGTACCTTTAGAACAAATTATAAGTACAGATTGCAGATAACCTAAATAAATTGAAGTAGTCTCTGGAGGTACTTAAATAGTTCTCTTAGGTATATTTCATAATCAGTCTGATTTGATGAGGTGAATAAAGCTAAGAGCATTTAAGGATAGAAAAAACTGAAAATTCAAAAAGAAGAGTGAATGAAAAAGGAATTGGTTCATCAGAAAGGAATCAGTGTAAAAACAAATTGTAAAGCTGATAAAATGATATTTTTAACTAAGTATAATAGTTGAAGAGCTCCAGAGTAGCTAATAGTATGGCAATGTGCTCCTATTCTCGTGGTCCTGGTTTTGAATCCGGTTGTGACAGTTAAATATTTATTCTGCTATATCAGTCATGGATCCCTAGGATCAGGGAGATCAACCCTCATACCTGAAGGAGCCACCCTCTGAATTGATGTGCTCTTGACAAAGGAGAAAACCAAACGTTAAGCATGATCTTTGTTATATCACCTCTTTACACAACCGTTGGCCTAAAAACAATAGTTCCTAACAAACATTATGATCCATGCCTCAGTACATGTCAATATCTCAATGGTCATGAGTTTCATGTAGGGATATAAGGTATATGATATTTCATGTAGGGATATAAGGTATATGATAGACAACTTCACCAACAATCTACCAAAATATTTAAGTACATAGGCAAGTAAATTACCCATAGGTTGGATAGGGTTATTTCTGTAGTTAGTTTATTATTACTTTCACTTATCTATATATCAAATATATAGTAAGGGAAAGTATTGCGATCATGAAAATTTTCGAATCTGAGTTTTTAATGGAAATATATGTTTTGAGGTCTCCCGAGTCCAAATAACCAAGTCCTGCAAAATGACCTGTGTTATGTAAGTGAACAGTCTAGCTCATAACCAAAAATTCAAATGGAAATGAAATTGCATAATTTCAAGTTTTTTTATATCTGGGATATTACGGCAACTTTTTGGTCAAAATCGGCTAATCGGAAGTGGCACTTTATATAATCGACTTCACACATTTTTACGATTTTGTCGAAAATGGCACCAACGATTATGATTAAATTCATTATATCAGTGTACAAATAAGCAATTTTTAATATAATGTAGGTTTTATCCTCATTGATGTTCTCTAACAGGGCTTAAATGGCTAATTTTCAATATTTCTTCCTCTAAAATACCTTAATTTTTTTTATTTGAAATAACTAACCATTTCACAAATTCCAATCCGGCCTGATTCGAACTGGTGTCGTTAGAATCGAGCATGTTGAAAATTACGCTATAATGTGCTCGGCCATTACAAACTCTATTAAGGAAATTAACTATAGTAGTGCAAGAAGGTGATTTGGCCAGTATCACACTCTATCATCAAGGATCCCCAATTTACATAAGTTCCAGAAAGACCTCTCTACCCCAGGATCAATCCAGAACTGATGTAACAGAATAAATAATTATCTGCCACAGCCAGACTCGTTTGCAGGCTTTGGAATCAAGAACACTGTGCTCACTTACTTACTTATCTACCCCACTCCCCAAAATAATTATTCAATTATTTTAGAACTTACCATGTGATACTGATGAGGCTTGCTTGTTCCTTGAATCGGAGTCAATACTGCGGACAAGGGATGAAGACCTTTTTCTGCTGGATTTAGAATCGTTATCAGAGTCAACTGATGAAGTTCTTTTTTTTTTAGATTTAGAGTCGACATGGCTAACTGATGAAGCTCTTTTCTTCCTAGAGTCAATATCAGGAGCAACTGATGAAGCCCTTCTGTACCTAGATTTAGAGTCGACATCGCTAACAACTGATGAAGCTCTTTTCTTTCTAGAGTCAATATCGGGGGCAACTGATGAAGCTCTTTTGTATCTAGATTTAGAGTCAGTATCACGCACAACCGATGAAGCCCTTTTATTCTTAGGGTACGAATCAATGTCGTGAACAACTGATGTGGTCCTTTTATTTCTTGAATGGAAATCATCTACAGAAAAAAAAGTTTAATTAGATAATTTTTAAGCTAAATAGTTAAAAATCACATTATTAAACATCATTTCATATTGTTAATTTCTTTATTTCCGGAGTATTTATCATCATATTCATACGTATACAGGGTGTCCCGTAAGTAAAGGTAAATATTTAAAAAGTTGAAAGTAAGACATCAAGATCTATAGTAAAGTAGATTAAATTTACTTTAAAAGAAAGTAGAGTTTGTCATTATTAAAACTATTAAAAGAGTACTGTTGAGCGGACAAACAGAGCTATGTTTTGTTTAAAAAAAAGTCATGAAGTATTTGTAATTTTTTTTAATCTCCCTTCAACTGTACTACAGTTACCACACTTTTAGAAGAACTTTCGCATTTAATAAGCTCAAGTCCATATTCTGAGTTGTTAATCAATATCAGGAGCAACTAATGAAGCCCTTATATAGCTAGATTTAGAGTCGATATCGCTAATAACTGATGGAGCTATTTTCTTCCTATAATAATGGGGCCGGAATAGCGGAGTGGTTACCAAGCTTTGCTAATAAAGTAAAGATCATAGGATCGTATCCTGGCCCTATTTCCTACAACAGCTGGTCCCCGCGGGAAGATAGACCATTCATTACCCTCTTAATTAGAGGAGGCCTACAAGTTGTAAAACTTTTATAAACAGGCTGTAAAAATAAAAAATATATATATATATTAATATTAATTAAGTTAAGATTTACCATGTACAATTTTGTGATATACTTCAATTTGTGTAAGGAAATGATGTAATTTTCTATCCGGACACCCGTGTTTTCTGCATAACTGACCACAATTACCTGTTGCAAAGCTTTCATTTCTGATTTTTTTATGATATGGGATGTATTGTGGATAAACTTGATTGCCTAAAAACTATAACTGCTTTTTCAAATATTTTTCATGTAAGGAAGTAATGAAACTGTGTTTTTCTCTAAGATCTCCATCATAGAAATTCATATGTATTTATCAGTGACAAACTTAATGTTTGTAACTAAAATTTAAGTTTAAAAAAGAAACTTCTACTGATTGCTTCTATTGTTCATGAAAACGTAAATATTAGGGCTAGAAAGATTAAGTTTCTTACTTATAAATACGCACCAATTCCTATGATAGAAATCTGAGAAAAAAACACAATTTCATTACCACCTTATATGAAAAATATTTGATAAAGCATTCATTATTTTTAATTTTTTTATTTTTGTAATTAAAATGTGTTTTTAGGCAATTATATTTATTAAATAGATGTAATGAGACCCTATCTGTATGTGACAAACCTCGACTAGGTCGTCCAGGCACTGTGAGAACGGCAAATAAAGTGAGAGCATTGGCTGCAAGATTCAGAAGAAATCCCATTCGAAAATAACAAATCATGTCTCGGAACATGGGAATCTCTATCAGATTAATGTCTCGCATAGTAAAAAGTGACCTTAGGATGGGTGCATTTCGAAGAATGACAGGATAAACGCTAACCACTTCCTTAAAAAAATTAGAGTGCTCGTTGGCCGTTCCACCAATATTCTTCATCAAAAGATTTTGTTTAGCAATGAGAAATTTTTTACAATTGAAGAAAAATTTAAGCACCAAAATGATCATGTGTACGCACACAGCTCTAACGAAGCCCAGGAAGTTATTGGAAGAGTAGAAAGAGGTCATCACCCTTCCTCAGTGATGGTTTGGTGGGGAGTTAGTATTGATAGCACCACTGAGCTCCATTTTTGTGAAAAATGAGTTAAAACAGCCACTAAAAATTATCAGGCCTATATTTTGGAACGTATTTTCAAGCCTCTAAATAATACTCTGTTAACTGGAAGTCATTGGGTATTCCAGCACGATTCCGCTCCAGCTCACAAGGCCAGGTCAACCCAGCAGTGGCTGCAAAAGAACATGCCAGAGTTCATCTCTGTCTCAGATTGGAACTCAGGAAGCCTTGATCTCAACCCACCAGATTATGGGCTTTGGTCCGAACTGGAGAGGGTGGCATGCCACAGAAGAGCACATCCTAACTTGGAAAGCCTCAGCAATCTCTGGTCCGAGCAGTTGAGCACTTTCCTTAAGAAGTGCTACGTGCTGCTATTGATGACTGGCCATGCAGATTAAATGACTGTGTCAAGGCAAAAGGAGGATATTTTGAGTAATTTCTTTTGCTTCCTCACTACCGAAGGTAGGGAAGCATTGTGTTTGTGCGAGAAATTAAAAAAATATTTTTGCTCAGAATCGAAAATTTTCACTCGCGTTTTACGTTTCAGACATCAAGGATCAAATTTGGTTCGGTGTCTGTCTGTCTGTCTGTCTGTAGTCAAATCGATGTGACGGGCATATCACCTAGTACCGTTCATTCAATCTTCATGAAATTTTCAGGGATTATGCTGATTGGTGCTAGATGGTCCCATATCAATTTTATCAAATTCCATCCAGCACTTCCGCTTACGCACGCGCAAACGTATATTTTTAGATATGCCAATATTTCAGAAAGGGCTCGTTCGATTTGGCTCAAAGTTAGATAAAAGGTAGACTTTGGTGAAAAAATAATGTAGTGTCAATTTCATTGAATTGCTGTCCAACACTTTCTCTTATATATGCACTACTAGTCCACTGTCCGCCATCCGCGCATTTTTTCTGAAACTACTGGACCGATTTTTTTCGAATTTGGATATAAAATCAGAGGTCACCGAGATCATCCTCCTTCAACGACATTACTATTCGCCTTCTAGTTTCAAAATGGCGGCCGAAAAACCTGCGTTGCTATAGACTGTAGCGCCTAAACGAATGAACCGATTTTGATGAAACTTCGCTAAAGTCATTTTCTCTACGCCCTCTTTATCTTTTTTTTTATTTCTGAATGTGTTACAGAAGTAATGCTATTTTTTTTATCATATTACTAACGATTAAAAAAGATTTTAGTCCAATAATTAGAATCACCTTTATTGATTTTTCTTTATAACTAGGAATTTAATGTTACTTTATATGTATAATTGTTTGGAAAATATACCAAAGAGAAATAATTTGCATGCAGTGGTTTTTTTCAAAATTAATTATCTTATATATATATATATATATATATATATATATATATATATATATATATATATATATATATATAATATCTTTCGTGCTGAAGCCCCTACTCCAAAATTAAATCTTGATTCGGTAATGTATATACTATTATTAGAGCATAAGTTCGATATGTAATAATTTTCAACTTTAATTCTATGTGTATTAAAGGTGATATTTTGTAGTCTGCAACTGATATAAGTAGTCTGCTACTATGGAAAATAGCAGATGAAAATAAAATATGAAATTATTCTAATAAAGCATAAAGAAATATTGATTTTTTATGCACTCTTGTAAAACAATAAATAAATTTATACATAAGACCTTTTGAACTAACAGTATTGAAATTCATGTTCAGTATGCATTTTTTTTTTTTTTTTTATTAAGCATAATCAAGTATGGAATATTCAAATACGACCCTCTGTTGTTGAATGTTGAAGGGTAACTGTAATCAGCTATTCCGAATCTGCTTCTCTCAGAGATTTTATTCTCATTCGAAAAATTGTATACCTTGTAATATACAACGGAAACGGTGAGGAAGCTATACTGACCTTACTTGGCAGACGTTTTTTTGTTTTACTCTATGTAGATATACATTTTATTTTCTAATAAAGTTTTTAAAAAAATTAATTTTTTTGCTGAAATTTGTATATATTTTCATGTAAAAATATTTATGACAAGACTAGGTATATATAAAAAAAAAAAAAAAGTCCCACCCAAAATCGACTAGTGATATATATAAATCAAATACTCACCCTGCACTACTGATGAGGGCCTTTCAAGGTCCCTATACTCCAAGGAGCCATTGGAGCGTCTTTTTTTATTCTCTTCCGAAGCCACAGAGGTTTTTCTTTGAGAAAGATTTTTCTTAGGAGAGACCAACGAAGATCTTTCTCTTTTCTGAGGTGTTTTATGTTTCGGAACAATAGGAGTCCTCCTATGAGATCCAGAATCTAATGAATTTCTTCTTTGAAGTGTATTTTCATTTGAACCAATCGAGGAAGCTCTTTCTCTTCTATGATCATTATCAGTCGGACCAATAGAAGAAGCTCTTCTTCTCTTTTTAAGATCATTTTCACTCGGACCAACAGAAGAAGCTCTGCCACTTTTTCTAAAGTCATTTTCACTCGGAACGACAGAGGTAGCTCTTCCAGTTCTATTATTCTTTTTCGAGTGAGAATCTACAAAAAAAATAAAATAACCTTTAATAACCAAATTATCAAATATAAAAATTGCAGTAAATGATCATTAAAAAAGAAAGAAAATATTTTACATTTAAATCTTGTCAGTAGCACTTGAAAGACATAAATGAATTTATCTTGATGGAAAACCTTCCTCTTAAAATACATTGCTTTTTTAATTTTAATATAATTATTTTATCATTATTCACTAACTGTAGTTTATTTCATTACTATTTCAAAAATTCCTTGATTGGTTTGACAGATATTCAGGAACCTGAAGAGTCTGGAGCTAAATCTAAACAATATAGGAAAGCACAGAAGATTGCGCCATACAAGTTTTAAAATACAAATTGTGCCATCAAAGTTTTAGAAGAAGCATATTTGAAGTTTTTGAATTTTGATTACTTAATGAAGGTCACGATTTTAACAGTTTCAGAGACTTATGTCTTTTTGCCAAGGCAGCACGGCACACAGATGGCTACCAAGGAACCTTCCTCATAAATTGTGTCCATTTTGTTTTAGGAATAAATTGGTTGGCAATTCAGATTTTTGGAGATGAACAATTTTCAATGTTTATACAGTATTTATAATATATATAACAGAATTAAGAGTATTTATCCCAGTTGGCCGTATCTATTCACCATTTTCTAATAGAATGTGGAAGAAACGGGTCAATTTGCAAAGATAATAAAAGCAGCAAATGGTTGCTTCAACAAGGTGGGAATAAGACTGGGGATGATAGAAAACACATGTGAGGCAAAATAGTGATCAATGAAGGTCCAGGTTATGCTAAATGTTATGTTATGTTAATTAGTGGTGTAAAATTAATGTTAACAATATAGTCAAGGAATATTAAGGGCTAAAACATTGTATTAGGATTCAGTCAATAAAACGTCTAACTTTCTGAACTTACTTGATTTTAATGACATTTCTTTTTCCTTTGATCTTTCAAAATACTCATCTGCAAAAAATATAATTAATTTGAACATGTTATTAATACAACAGAATATATAAACACAATTAGGATAAGCTTACTAAATATAATAAGTAAAAAAGGTATAGTATTATAAATTAGTAAGGTATAATAAACATACAAAATGTCATGGAAGGAGATGGTCATAAATAGGATAAACAGTGGCAAAGCTATTTTATTAAAAGCCAACGTTTTGACCCGACTTTGCAGGTCTTCTTCAGGGCTAGAACGGACAAGATACAAAAAGATATAGAGAATTGTGGAAATTACATAATATTTAGACATAAAATTATAAACAATGTAAATAATTTTATTACAATTATAAACAGCAAGTACATTAAAATATAAACAGAGTAAGCTAGGTAACAAGATCCTAAACTGAAGTCAATAGATGGTAACAATTGTTGTAGTGTAATATATAATATATGCAAATGTAAATATACTTCTACAGATCTAGAGGAGAGATTGAAAGAAAAGGAAAAAGGATAGAATATGAAATAATAGACATAAAGAAATGTGGAGAAAGAAAAGAAAAAAGAAAACACAAAAATAATAAGTTTATAAAATTAGAAGAATAAAAATAGAGACTTACAGGTGTGTTCAGCTAGGAGTTTCACTTAGAACTGGAAAATCAGGGTAAGGGTAGGTATTGGTGAAATTTGCTGACCTTCATGGGTAATGGAAAAAAAAGACTGAAAATTTACAGCATATAAAATTTGAAGATACGGATGGATAAAAGGGAGAAAAAATCCTTTTCTTTCTGTCTCTCCTATAGATCTGTAGAAGTATATTTACATTTGCATATATTATATATTACACTACAACAATTGTTACCATCTATTGACTTCAGTTTAGGATCTTGTTACCTAGCTTACTCTGTTTACATTTTAATGTACTTACTGTTTATAATTTTAATAAGCTTATTTATATAGTTTATAATTTTATACCTAAATATTATGCAACTTCCACCATTCTCTATATCTTTTTGTATCTAGTCCGTTCTAGCCCTGAAGAAGATTTGCAAAGTCGGGTCGAAACGTTGGCTTTTAATAAAATAGTTTTGCCACTATTTAGCCTGTTTATGACCGCAACCAAAAACCATCTCCTTCCTTTATAATGCAACGGTCAACTATTAAATATTTAATACAAAATGTAATTTTAAAAAGTAAAATATAGTTATTAAATTGTTTTATTATTACTTAGTAAACATTAACTCACATTAAAAATAAGTATAAATTTACCATGTATTTTTTACAATAAGTCTATCTCCTAAATGTGTATAGAAATCTTTATTTTATATTAGTAATACGAATAAGGAAAAGATACTCACAAGGGGATATCACACCTCTTTTTTTTCTTGAGCAGAACCCACTCGGATAACCTGCTACAAAAATAAATTATTACATTAATTCAAAACTATTGATTGATGATTTACTGTGGTGAATAATGGAAGAGAAGGATGGTTGGGATGATCAGTCAAAATAAAAAATAGTAAAAATAAATAATTATATTTATTTTTATATTTGCTGACGTTTCGGAACCGAAGTTCAGGCCTTCATCAGGGCTAAGAAAAAAACAGATAACAATAGTTATGAGGAACTATAAACATTGAATAATAAAGAATTAAAATTAAAAATGTGAAAGGTATAGATGAAAAAAAATGTAGGTAAAATAAACTTTCAGTAAAATAAAATAAATAGAGTGAACATTAAAGTAAAATAACTCTACCTCTTCACATAATTATATTTTTCTACCTACTTTATTTTACTTTCATGTTCACTTTGTATAATATTCTAAATATGTTAATAATCTGAATTAAGCTTGATATTAAATATATAATTTAAATTAAACCTACTTTAACTTTTTTTTTAAAGCTCAAACCTGATAAAATAAAAAATCTTGATATAAATTTAACTTTTACCTCTTAAACTCTCGTAGTATTCTTCATCTTCAGTATCTGGAATAAAAAAAAAAAAAGTAAATCTCAAATACAATTTTATAGCTGTATCTAATAAATGCTACATAATATTATCAATCATTGATTAAATATTACATAAAAACAATTTTAAAAATAAATATAACTGTTTTTGCTGTTAAGAACATTTCTATTGGGCAGTGAATTTAGATTCTTTAATTTCAATTATCACCATAATCGAGGAGAATCAAGGGTGCCAGAAGTAAATTTCCTGGACCACCGCAAATGTTAAATTTGCAACTGAAGCCCAACCTACTTTTATTCATATTGTATCTAAGCTAAATAGCTGGGTTGGACCCCTCTCATTGGGCCTGATGATCAGTGATTAACGTTTAGTCCAATTAAATTATTAGTTTGTTCTAATTAAAAATTTTACTCAGAATAATCCTATATTAATTTATTATTTTAAATAATGAACTTTTGTGAATGACCAAGAAAAACATTATAACCTCCAAACTTTAAGATACAAAGAATCCATAAATTTAATAAAATAAGAAAAAATCCATTGGCGACTTTTCTCTAGGACTACTGGGCCATTCTTTGTTTTAGATTTGGCTGCAAAATTATGGGGGGGGGAGGGAGGGGGTCGCCTTAATCCTAGAACGACACACTGGAGTGTGATACATTCCATCACATTTTCAATATTAATTTATACTTATATAATTAGCTCTTCGGTCAAGTTTTTTCAGGTAAATAAACATCATACATAACTAGACTAATTACAGTCAATAGTGCTTCATTGTTGGGCTTATATCATTACTGGGAGTTATCGAAAGTCATTATGGGGTATCCCACACCCCAGTGTGTTATTTACGTGACTCTCCTGGGTGCCTCACACTCCAGTGTGCTACCTATGCAACTGTTCTATGGATTTCGTATCTCAGTGTTTTCTTTGTTATTTTGAAACTGAAGATAAAGGAGAAAATATTTATTTGGCTTAGGCTATTTTTTACTTGAGCCCTTTAAGAAATTTTGGGAGATTAAAAAAATAGACGACTACTGTTGGAAAAACAAGCCAAATACTTGTTTTGCACGAGAGGGAAAGATATGAAGATGAAAATTGTTTGTCAGCAATGTAAGAGACCTATCTGCAATGAACACAGGGCGACAGTTTGCTTGGATTATTGTGAGTAGTCACTTAAATGGTCCCCACTATAAGTTTAATTATCTTTTTAAGTAAAAAAACTTTTACTTAAAACTCCAAATGTAAAATAAGATAAAATAATAAGCTTATTTATGAGAAGTATTTGAGTCTTCCAGAGCAAGACAGTTAAATTTTATGGTAATTTAAAGTTTGGGGTGTAACACACCCTAGAGTATCAGAATGAGTTAACGTACTTTAGTGTGTTGTTCTAGGGTTAATGGGTCTTCGGAACATGACCTTTCCATCAGTTATTTTGTTTCAAAATGGTGATCAATTAGAGGAACATTGTAAAGTATTTTGGTCTTATGTGATTATGATGCAATGAGCGTTCAAACAAAATAATTAATTTATAAATAAGCAATATCAATTAAGTAATTTACATTTTTTTTTTTTTTTTTTTTTTTTTATTTGGGTTTTATACAACTTAAGGAGTCATATCCCCAACACCCAAAAGCCCCTGCTCCCTGTCCATCCAATCTCCTTCACGAAGCCCTCTGGCTGCCATGCTTTCCTCCACGTCCTCTGTCCATTTCTTCTTTGGCCTTCCACGCTTCCTTCTTTCAGGTGGCATATAGTTATAAATTTTCTTTGGCCAGCGGTTCTCATCCATCCGCATTAAGTGGCCATACCACTTTAGCCGTTTGGTCCCGATCAGGTGAAGGATGTTCTTTTGACATCCGACCTTGTCTCTAATTTACATTTATGGCAAAAAAAAATAAGAATGGCATGGACAACCATATTGTCTGGTATTTAACTTAGACAGCATTACTGTCAAGTGTTTATCAGCATAAAAGTTGGCACAAGCACGTTATACTGAGAGATCATGGTACAAATTGTTATGTTCCAATCTTAGGAGCAATAAAATTTCATCAGATCTCCACATATTTTCATGAGTGAACCCAGAACTTTTCACATAAAAATTATAAAGATATGAATTTGGAGGAGCTAATTTGGTATAGTTAAACCCTAATACCTAAAGTTTAATACCAACTGACTATCAAGTACTAAAATGTATACAAAACATACTTAATATGACGACGAAAAGGACATTGTTAGATATCAATAAAAAAAACCTGTATATGTGTACACACACATCAAATTAAAAAGTTAATATTTTTTAGAATAAATAATAAAAAAACTTCCCGAACAATAACTAAATTAGAAGTCTTGAGAAATGCTATAAATTTAAACCCTCGTATTTCAAAATTACTAATTGTAAAAAGATAAAAATAAATAAATTACCTGAACATGATAATAAAGTACCTGAAAATAACAAAAGATAAATAAATATATAATCATAAAATCAAAATAAACAAAATTAAATAAAGTTTTATACGCACAATCTGATTCATAATCCAATTCCTGTCCTTCTGAAACAACCAATGATCGCATTGCTAAAATTAAAAAAAAAAAATAATATCAACTCAAAATAATTTTTAAATCAACAAAATGTAAAATTATTGGATTAGTAATGAAAGAGTTTTAAAAATGTTAATGTTTGCTGTGCCGACTGGTAAGTATCTGAGGGGTACAAAGCGAAGGTGGGAAGATTCCATTAAAGCCGATCTGAAGAGACTGGGTTTGGACGGAAACCGGTGGAAGGAGGTGTGTAGACAGCGATTGGAGGTGTCGGCATCAAATCTTCGGATTTGCTAAATCTTTTATTATTAATAATAAAAGAAGATTCATTAATTTAATATTATGTATATCATATTAAAATAATGTTGTCTATAATATAATTTCAATAATTTTAATTTTTTTTATTGATGTCGTTTATAGAATATTCATAAAAAATAATATTTGTATCATTTCTTGAAAATATAAGCAAATTTAAAAAAATAAAACTCTATCTTACATGCATATAATGCAATACATATCAATAAATTGAACAAAAAAAAAATTATCAAGAGCTGTAAACAATTTAAGATTACTGACAAGTATTATCTCTTTAGAACACTTATCTAACCTTATTTCTCAACAATGGAATGGCTCAATAAAATGTTGGTTCAAGAGTTTTTATTGAAAAAGCAACATGACGGTGTCCTACAAAATTCTTCTTATTTTAAGACATTACTGGAAAAAAAACTCAGTTCAGCAACCAAAGGAGATCATGAAATCAACAAAACTGAAGGTGTTCATGACGAGTGAAACAGGCAGCATTGGTTTCAAAAATTTTCTATTGAAGATACGTCCTTGGAAACGAAGAAGGGCTCATGGAAACCATCACCCAAAATTGATGAGGTTCTTCAGTTCAGCTAGCTTTATGATCAAATTCCTTCATCCAGAAGCACTCATGATCTTTCCGAGGAGTGTGGACTGTCAAAAGACAATATGTGTCACCTTCTATTGGTAAGCTGCAAAATATTTCTGTTCTACTAAGACAACGCCTGGCTGCATAATTCCAGAAAGTCCAAGGAGAAATTAAAAATCTTGATGGTATGGAACTTCTTCTACACCCATCTTACAGTCAGGACTTTACTCTATCAGATTTGTGTTAGTTTAAATCCGTACCCACTTCTTAAAAGGAAAAAATTTTGATACATTTCACTAAATCAAAACGGCAGTTCAGGAATATTTCGATAGTCACCCAAAAGAGTGATGTCTGGACGAGATCAAGCAACTGGCCAAAAGATGGGAAATGGCAGTCACACAATAAATTATAATCTGAATATTAATTGTATGTTGTGTATTTTTTTAATCCCTCTTCTGACTCAATTTTCTAAAAGGGACTTGAAGGATTATTAATTGGAGTGAGATTTAGAGCTTAAATTTAATTTAAGAACTATCTGTTATGCTGTCTGCACAATCCAAAGCTAAATGAAAATCCTAAAACAAAAGTTGAACTCGAATAAAGATGAGAAGAGAAACAAGGAAAAAATTTTAAGATGGGAAAAAATAATTCCTGAAAAATACAAAATTATGAGTACTATTCTAGCAAACTTAGTCCCATCAATTATTTTTTTAAAATAATAATAAAAAAAGAATAATGATATTTTAAGATCAACTCATGCTATATCCTAATAAAGTAGACTCCCGCTTATCCCTCTTCACCGAGACCGAGACATCGTTAATATGGATGATATAAATTTTAAAAATCCAATATTATTTTTACTTCTATATTGAGGAAAAATTTTATCTTTCAATGACACAACTTCTTTTCTTTTTTCATTCATTTTGTCACACTAGTTAATTGAACGAAAGGTATAACAACTGAAAAGAAATATGTAGTATACAAGCAAAAACCTAGACTAAAACGTTTCCAAGAAAACATGTCATGTCTAACATTGGTTATAAATGCAATTCAGTACTAACCAGTACTGTGTCTGTAACTAAGCAGTATTTCTTTTTCACTTTTTTATGAAATAAATGAAGGATAAAGATTTTGCTTCAAGAATCAATTTTACTTCAAATATTTGTTTTATCGAGGTTCGGCCAATCGTAAATAATAAATAAAAACTGTTTTCTCTAAATTTAAATCTATTTAAAATCTATCGAACCGCAAAACAACAAAACTTAAATTTATAACCAGTAGTTCAGAATATCACAAAGTTTTAAGTGCTTTTAAGAATGTTAACAATTTTTTTTTTCTTTTACTGCTGCCGCCGATTATTAACCCAGAGTGCTGGTTAAGCAGGAGTCTACTTTATACAAAATAACAAGCTATATTATCATGAAATTTGACTGTAATCATAGAATATAATTAATTTGAATTATATCATATGACAAAACAATTATAAACAAAAATATACCATGACCAAAGCTAAAAATGTGATCTCTGTATAGTCTAGCAAAACCAAATTTCTGCAACCTCTGGAAAACATTCATGTCTAATGCTTCTCTTGCAATACGTACACTCTCCATTAGGCGAGATAGCTTTCCAGGAACTGCCTAAAATCATTTACAAATATTTTTTTTTAAATCATTAATACAGTCCAGATTGAGATACAAAAAATTGTGCCACACATAACCAACTCAACAGGAGGTAATACAAATAAAAAAATTGTATCCTAAATAATTGATTTCTCCTCAATAACTTTTTTTCCGCAGCCTTTTTCAAAAGATTATTTTAAAAATTATCGCAAACAATAAAAATATTCTTACAGCTTTTGAATAAACATAGTATGATTATGTTTTTTGTCTATGAATGCCAAAATTGATTTTCATTCCTATTAGCGTCTATTTATAATTACATTGATATACTACAAACTTTATTATACCTGCACAAGTATGGTAGGTAAGCAAATTATAAGGCAGTTCTTAGTTGGCTGCTTAGACAATTAGGTAAACTAAGAGATTATCTTGTATATGAGATATCTGCATATGAGCAGTAGAAGAATCAAAATCAACTTAGAAATTTATTGAAAGTAAGAAAAAGCACCCTTTTTTTTTTATAGTCTCACATATGTATGTTTAGGAGCTTTCGGTACTCTGCACCATATTCATCTTTACAGTGGTCGTTCAATCCATTTTTTTTACTTCGTTCATTGTATAAATTTTATTAGTCATTATATATTACTGGTGTCTAAATTTACAAACATTTTTGTTTGGGCTTTTCCATTATAGGACAGGGCCCCTGTTATCTGTTATACTTTATCTTCCGGTTTATAGTCTTACAAGGCCGTGTAATCTAGAAGGTAAAGTACAACAGAGATCCTCTCTCCTATAATGGAAAAGCCCAAACAAAATTTTTTTTGTAAATTTAGACACCAATCTACAATGATTCATAAAATTTATACAAATAAAGGACTCCAAAAAATGGATTGAACGAGCATTGTAAAGATGAAATGGTGCAGACCCAAAAAAGCTCCTATTTCTTACTTTCAATATTATTGCACACTATTTCTTACTTTCAATATTATTGCACAATCTACCTATATATTTTTGACAGCTGCAGTAAAATTTAACTATAAATTTGACAGCATCAATACAAAATGTATATGTTTGAGAATGAAAGTAAATTGCATAATATAAACAATCACCTGCGAATTATACCACGTAAATGCGATTAACTCATTCTCTGAAAACCACTGTCTAGACGTATTTTTATAATCCACATCGATGAATACTATGTGATACATACACTAAAAAATAAATCAAATTTTTAAAAACTTGTGAATTGGGGATGAAAATCAATAAACAAAAATTTAAATTTACACTAACAGCTTTTCTACCATGGTCATGAGGACTCAACCAATAAAATTGAGCGAGTTCTGGATCATCATCAACCATACCAGGCCATCTTGAGTACCTCTGCAAAATGAGAGAAAAAAATTATTATTATCACACACTATCAGTGATAAATTGCATAATCTTATTCACCATAGGATTTATTTTTTTAAAAAAATCCTTTTAATCTAACACAGTGAAATTTATTACATCTATATAACTTCACACTAATTTCATTCAAAGAGAACTGGAACGGTAAAATGTAACAGAAAAAAAAAATTTACAACTTATCCTTAATCGACCTTTGAGTATTAAATTTAAACTTAACTATTTATTGGGAATAAGGTCATTTAATTATTATTTAATAAACTATTGAATGTTCATTTCTTCTGTTTATTGACGTTTCGATCCCGGTAGCTTAATATATGTGCTAGTGGACGGTGCTGAGACTGTCAGTGTGTCCCTGTTTATTAAATAATAATTAAATGACCTTATTCCCAATAAATAGTTAAGTTTAAATATATATATATATATATATATATATATTTTGTAAAATACACCTTAATTGAAAGTTGTTAAAAATAGTTTAATAAATTAATGTAACAGTAAAAAGGCAAGCTAATCTAGTTCCACTAGTTCAGGGAAAAAATGATTTTGTTTAGGCAAGCAGTTGGTGTTAGTGATGGGGTGTGACTGAGATTTTCCATCACAGCTCTAGGAAAAACACTGTGACAAATCATAGTAATTTGTCACTACAGTGATTTTATTTCGGGTGATAAGTATACAATAGCTTCTTAACAAAAGCGTCACTGTGAAATCATAGTTTACGTGTTTAAACTTATATTAAAATAAAAAATAGAATTTTTTTTTCCAGTGACAAATTATATATTTGACGTGAGGAAATATCTCTGGGATCCATTGGTTCATAGCTAATTCATTTTTTATTCATATTTCAACAGTTAAATGAAAAACTTTGCGTTAATTATATCAAATATAACTCATTCAGAAATATAGGGCAATGAATGTTCAATTTATCTAAAGTTCAAAAAGTATTTTTAATAAAATTTGACGAATAACTATTATTTTAGAAATAATTATTTCATGATTATTCATTTATTAAATAAATGATGTTAACAATACCCAGATCGCTGGAGCGAGAGGAGTGATCAGAGCTGTGATTTCGCAGCGCCAACAGTGACTGTCACTGTTGGAGCACTGTGATTTCACAGTGCCTACAGTGACTGTCAATGTGATTTTGGTGCGCCTGTCACTGTGATTTCGGTACACCTGTCACTGTGATCACCAACTCCAGCCCAGTCACTGTGCCAGAATCACAGTTCCGCCTAGTTGATGTTTGGCTGGGGTGAAGAGAGAATGGGAGAAGGGATCCTGGTTCCAGTGGATAAAATCCAGTAATAGTATTACCATTTTGGAAGTTGTTTGTCATTGTGATTTCGTTACAAATGACTTATATGATAGTAACACTAAATTTGTTTTTAAATTAATTTTTGATCAATAATCAATTTCTGAGTAAAACAACTATCAGTTGTAACATCTTCTAGACGTATAGAAATAAATAAATAAATATAGGTGAATTACTTCACAATTAATATTATTATTAATTTGAATATAATAAGAATTCAATGTAACTGAAAACATTCCTAAAAATATGAAATCTGCAAAATAAAAAATTGGAGAGAGAAAAATACAACTTGATTAAAGAAAACAAAATAACATGAGTAATAATAAATAAATTAATAAAAATAAATTTTATTTTGAGAAATATTGTAAAAATACAAATAAGTATATATGTACATTTGACTATATTCAAAGATATATTCAGTCATTTATATATCAATTATTATGTTGTGAGGGTAGATGTTTGGGTATCAAATTCTTTAAATTTTATTCTTTATAATTTCATTAATTAACATCTTTATTATTATTTTATTTTTAATAATAAATTTTCAGAAACATTTTCATTTTCCAGGATAATTCCCTTAACCATCCTAATTTCCTGTATCAGTAGACATCCTGCTATACATCTTGTGTAATCTAATATATTGTTTCTCATGCATATACTGCCAAAAACCTTATATATTAAAATTATATTTTATAATTGACCAATATCAGAAAACAAATAAACGACAAGTAAACAACTAGACTAATATCAAGTAACCAATATATAATAATGATCAAATGGGCAATGGAAATCAAAACAAATAAAAAATATAATATATGAATTAAACATATGACACTCGACATCAGCTGATAAAACAAATGTTACTAATACTTAATTTTTAACTTTTTCATTAATACTTTTAACAGAGAATTAACTATGGCAGGAGAAACTGATGCTGATATACATAAATTCCAAATAGAACATATATTATCACATAAGACCAACAATAACAGGTAAGAATGGTCTTAATTTTGAGATCATTTTAAAAAAATAATAACTTAAAAACACCATATTAGATTAAAAAAGTATTTCATTATTATGTTCCATCAAATCTCAGTTCCAGAAACAATTTAAATTTTATTAATAATTATTTTGAAAAAATAATACAACACCAAACAAATACACAACAATTACACCACATAATCAAAATAAAAGTAACTTGATCACTTAAACCAATTCATCAACAAGTTTCTGTAATAGATTTGGTTTATTTAAATAATTGATAACTATCTATTCATTCATTCATTTATCACAAATTATTAATATAAGATAAAAATGTTATTTTAAAAACTAAATTGATAAACTAAACATTGGCTATGTTATGAAAGTTTCAGATAAAAAATTGTAAAGTATAAATAAGATAACTTTCCAGAGGAAGCCATTTTGTTATCATTGCAATTCTGCCATTATTTAATCAAAATAATTTCTATATCTGATTGAGAATCAGATGAGGTGAATTATAATTAAATAAAAATAAATAAATAAAATCTACGACAGTCTGTGGTCAGGGCTATAAAAAAAAAAATCACTGTATCAATATGCTTGTCCACTCACTTTCCTTAGGAAGTACAGCAGCAGTTAACTAGGGCGCAGATGACCTATATGGTCTGGACAAAATGATAACAATGTCATAATAAAAGATAACTTTTTAATTTCTTGTATGTTTTTTCTTTAAATTTTCTGTATATAAAATAACACGTATGGAAAGGTATTATAATTAGGAAAATATTAGCAGTCGGTTTCTTTCAACTTTGTCTTCCGCAGCCCATATTAAGTTTAAAAGATCACTATCTGCTAGGTTCAATACATAGCAAGACAATGTATTTAGTAAATTAAATGTGCTCACTACTACTTGATATTAACTCAATGGATAATGGTAATAGCTAAATTATTAATGAGCTGAAACCAGCAATCGATGTCATACCTCAGTCCACCAAAACGATCAAAGCCCGAGTCTAAGTTAGCATTGGTGCAAACCTTCCATCTATGTCTCGGTCTACCCCTCGTTAATTCATCGAAAGGTGAACTTAACAAACGCATAAAACTAAATATCTGAAGAGCACTAGAGATGGTGTTTTGTAGGAATAGGTAAGTACAACAGCCTTGGAGAAGTAATAACACAAAATACTGAGACAGCAGAGAAAATAAAGGCACGAATAGCTGCTGGCAATAAGTAGTTTTAATGTCATATGTGATGTTTTAATATAAAAAAATCTCTAACGAGAAAATGCTAAGAATATGGGAAATAAACGTATTGAGGATGGTATTTGGGTCTATGCAAGAGGACAGTGGATACAGAATATGGATGAACTACAAGCTGAAAAAGCTATTTTATGAACCAGAAAGAAAAGAAGAAGGCTAAATATGTGGCAAGGACCCCTACGTTGAGATTACTTAGACCAATGCTGTATGGTCATCCAGGAGGTTCAAGGAAAGGTAAGCCTCGCAAAAGATGGTTGGAAGACATCCAAAGCTACCCAAGGATGGTGCACCAAAACCATGGATATAGAAGAATAGAGCAGGATAATAGAGGAGGCTTTGGTTCTTAATGGACCATAATGCCATGCATTAACTTATCAAACACATTACAACCTTTCTTGTTCCACTTTCCTGTGCAGCCTTTGTCTTCATGAATATTCAGTACAACACAATTTTCAAAGTCCTTAAGATGTTGCTCTACTTTCTCTAACATGAGCATCTATGTTTTGTACCCAATGAAAGCAGGAGAAATAATAAATTTGTCAATTTAAAATTTTAAAGTTTAGGGATATGAGTCATAAAATGGAATCAGACAAAGCGAGACATTAATCTAATCCCATTTTGGAAGAATGAGGGGCGAATGATATTACAAAATCTCATTCAAAATACATGCTCAAACATATATGCACATTAAATGCCTCCAGGACTAATGATTCTCACAATTCCTCACGGACGTGAGAGCTTCCAAGTAAAACTTCTCAGCCTATGAAAGAAAAAACAAGTTTCTTAAGCAAGTAACAAAAAACCTGCAACTTAAATATTGACTGCAGATCAGATGCTTCTGGAAGACCAAATTATTTAAATCATATGTGTAAAAGAACTTAACATTTTTCAGTAAAAATAAATCTTCCAATTTATGAAATAAGACTTTGTTTATTTATTTAATGTATAGTTAAGACACAATGCTTACGAGTTTGCTTCCTCCTAACCTAAGGGAGCGAAGTTATATAGTCACATGGGAAGTTAAAAAATATATTGTTCTCAGAATAAAAAATTTCCATGCTTGTTTTAAGTTTTGAAAACCAAGGAACAAATTTGGTTGTATCTCTGTCTGTCTGTAGACAGATCTATTTGATGCACATATCTCCTTCTACCATTAATCTGATTTTCATGAAATTTTCAGAAATTGTGCGGTTTGCTCACTAGATTTCTATTTTATCAAATTCTATCATTGCATGAGCATGCAGTGTATTTTCCTAGGCACACCTATCTTTAAAAAACAGCAGAAGGAAAGTGAAAGGGAAAAAAGGAGAAAGTGGAAGGAAAGTTGGGGATTAATGAAACAATAATCAAGTTTATCAATCAATTCACTACCTAAAAAAATACTTTTGCTAACAGATGACAATTTTTTTCAAATGTGCCCAAATAAACGGCTCATTTGATTTACCAAAGTAGGAGAAAATTTGTAGAGTCCGCCCAAGATGAGTTATTCTCTTTACAGATCTGTGCCCTAGTAATAACATCGAGTTCTGTAAACATAGTTATTTTGATTATTTAACCATACTTGCCACTGTTTTATTTAATTTTTTAATTAAAATTCCTACCTTTAATAAACATTTGTGCAAAATTTGAAGAAAATCTAACGTCCCCACTATGAGATGATTGCTATGGTGAGGAAGGGAAATGGAGCTTGCGAGGGGTTTTAGGGAGGTGGAACTTGAGAGGGTGGAAGGCTGTATGAGCTCCCTTCTCTGACAGGCGAATTCACTTTGGAAGCACTATACAAATGGTTTAGTATCATTTTTATCAAATTCTAATTATATTTTAAAAAATTTAAAATTCCAATTTAACAATTAAAATGGCTGTAATGAGGTAAACATTTTTTAAACTAAACTGACATTAATTCAATTTGATTACATTATCTTAGATTCTAAGCATTTGTAGTTATATGGTACAATAATGATTTTGTCAGATTCTTTATCTCAACCATACAATTTTCTTTAACAAGAATATAGTTCAAAAACGGTTTCTCCCATAGATTTTATTATCAAACAACAAATCATAGACCTTGAATTATAAGTAATTATATAATCCATAGAAATAGTGAGGAAGCTATGCTGATGGATCCTTGGTTGGCAGATTTTTTTTTTTACAATTTAACAACATAATAGATAATTTTGTCTTAAAAAATTATCTATTATGTTGTTAAATTGTAAAGAAAAAAAAATCTGTCTATCTAATGGTGGACCAACCCCCATTTTGCAAATTATACAACTGTTCATTTAATTGTACTATCCATTGCTCAAATTGTATAACTGTAATTTACATGTATTCCACAGTTCAGATTGTATTGGGTTGGTCTTGGGTAAGTCTTTTCGGTTCTTCAAGGTGAAATAAATCTCAATGTATTACAGACATAAAATTTATTTTAATCTACACAATATATTCACCATTACTGAATATGAATTTTCTCATCTTTTCACTAACTGCATAATGCCATGTTCACAGAATGTCTGTATTTATATATTTATTGTTAAAAAACTGATCCAAGTTGGTTTTTGATGTCCTCTTCCTTTTGGAATGTCTTTCCATTCATGGAGTTCTGCAGACACCGGAATAAGTAGTAGTCACTTGGAGCTAGGTCTAGTGAATAGAGAGGGTGAGGGAAAAGGTCCCATCCAATGCTCAATAATTTATTGCGAGTGACCAATGTGGTGTGGGATCTAGTGTTGTCTTGATGGAACACAACAACCTTCCGATTTGCCAGTTCTGGGCGTGTATTTTTAACTGATTGATCAAATTTTGTTAATTGTGAGCAGTATAGAGTTAAATCAATTGTTTGTTCTGATGGCAATAGCTTATAGAAAATAAGACCCTTGAAATCCCATCATATGGAAAGCATTATCTTCTTTGGATGCAATCCGGGTTTTGACATTCTTCTAGGAGCCTCACTACTAGGTCCCCAAGATTTTCTACTGACTACATTATCGTAAAATATTCATTTTTCATCTCCTGTTACCAACCTTTTCAAAACTGGGTTGTTATGTTGCCGTTTCCATAGTGAATCACAAACAGAAATGCGTGTTGCCAAGTTGTCTTCGGTTAGAGAATGAGGATCCCAAACATTAAGCCTGGAAACATAGCCGAGCTTGTGCAAATGGTTTTCTACACTTGTGTGTGACACATTTAGGGCCATAGCAATCTCTCGCACTTATTGGGTGGGATTTTGACCAACAATGGCCTCAACATTGCTCATTTCAATTTCATGTGGGCGACCAGACCGTTGAGTATCATTGATGTCAAAATTTCCTGAATGAAAAATTTGGCAAACCAATTTTGACAGGTGTGTGCGGTTAAGGCATCATCCCCATAAACACTGCAATTTTTTCTATGAGCTTTTGTAGCATGCCTGACTTTTTAAAAATAATACAACAAAATATGCCGATAATGAATGATATTTTCTTCCATATTCACAGTGCAATAGTTTCAATTTTTTATTTATTTTTTTTTTATTTCAATTTCACAATACTAAGCTAGTTTCAACAAATATAGTTGTTGACATATTGCAAACAGGATAAACAATCCACCTTAGGGGTTAACTCATCAGATAAGAAGTTTATCATAGTGACATAAAAATAAACAGAAAAACTAAAAGGACTTATCAGCCAAACCCAATATTTATTTTTTTATCAACATAAAATAAATTGAAAAAAAATTCGGACAAATTTTTAATGTCTTTAAAAATCTATATTATACACCAAGTCTTATTGCCAATTTGTAACCATAATATATATTCAACTTGTCCAGCTTAATATAAGCCCAACATCAATTTGAGTCTTTTATTCTTAATATTTTCATTGTACGTTATATTGTTTCTTGTTCTAATTATTAATGATTATAATTATATCACTATAAAATATAAAACATAATAATTAATAAATTGTATTCAAGGGGAAAATTTCTAGATCAAAAAATAATTGTTGTCATCTAGGTATAATCAAACGACTATCTTCAAATTAATACAATTTTTCGTACAAATTTGTGGTATAAAATCTTTATTATGTATTAGGAGAGTATGAGGTTACAGAAGCTCAATATTTTGTATTAGAATATTACAGAATGTATCACAGGATTAGGATTGTATTACATGAGCTCAAAACATATGTAATTAAATGGACAGCTGTATAATTATAATACTGTAATTAATTATAATTATTACTGTATAGTATAATTAGTGCTAATTATAGAGCTCCTGTAATCCTCATACTCTCCTAATACTAAAATAAAATAAAATATGAATGTCACTAAAAACTTATTTTATATAATAGAGAGATTTAGACATTAGGAGTGATTGAAGACAGAGTAATAGAAGATAGCGTTCAAATAATAAAAGAGCATCCTGGGGTATACTGCTAACATTTGTGAATATAATTAAAAGATAGAAATTAATAAATATTGAATATACAAATTGGAAGATTTATTTTCATTGAAATATGTAACATTCTTCCTAGAGAACCGGTATTAATATATTAAAATTAACTGTTAAAAAATGAAGTACTTACAGCAGAATTAACCCAAACCAGTGACCCAGCTGTAAATTTTAATCTAACTACAGCATTATTGTTGAAGTGCGACTGTGGTTTCTCACAAGAATTAAACTTATTATCTGAAAGTATACATTAATAATAAGAAACATTTATCAATATTTTCAAAGAAAATTAAAAAAGAAAGATAATAAAATTAAAAAAATGCTTTACCTAGATTCATGGAGCATTGCCATTTATCGGGTATATCAACTGGGTCAAAAATATTCTTTAAATATCTCCACTTTTCACACTGAAAGCATTTCGCCTGAAACAATAAATAATATAATATGTAATCAACAAACAATTTTAAAGATTAATTTGATAAAAAATGTATATATACCCAAGTTCCATGCATTCGATTTTGCTGCATCCACAAAATTTTTTCCCTTTGTGTTTGTTGACCTGGTATTTTTAGGTTAAAAATTTCTTGAGCACGTTCAGTAAGTGCAGCCATCTTTAAGTCTTTAAAATAACTAAAGGTCAACATTAATAATTAATTGATAATTGTTTTTTTATTTATATGAAGTAACAAACATGAATGAAATCCAAATTAGACTGAATGTATAAATGTACATATGCTAAAACAACAAAAATAAGTATTTTATTACAAATTAAAAATGTTAAATGTTTGGATCATATAGAAAAATGGGAACAACCTTAAATTTACGGCCTAGGAGTCATTAGTCTTCCTTTATAGATTTAGGACAAATACTAGTAAGGTAATGATGGCAGAATGTCTTAAAGCATAAACTTTAACATTCTCAAGTCTAGTGACACTGGTTCAAACCTGGATTAGGCAGATTAAAATTTATTTCACAGCGGACTCACAAAATGATTTTAATCTTCCCACTCTGGTTAGAATAGGTTTGGTTGTACCTGTAGAACAACCCTCTCTATACCAGAAATGGCAAAGTAGGTGGTAATCGAAAAAAATGGACAAATATTTATAAACAGCCTTGAATAACGACAATGTTGATATAAGGAAGATTCTCAGAAAAGTCAATACATGGCGGAGAAAGTCCAATGAAGAATTGCTTTCAGAAACTAGTCAATCAATATTTCATATTGATCACCAAAATAAATACGTTAAAACATACCTTCGTGATAGGTAAAATGCATTTTAAAAATTTCTTCATAAATTATGAGAAAATAATAAACTGCAGCCAAAATTATAGTTGGACATTGGTACATTCACACAGTCAACAATTTCTATAAAATCGCATGTAAACTACAGATTTTATTTAAAATTATGAAATGTTTACATTTAGTTATTTTAATTTGTGAATTTATTTTGAGATAGTGGCGCAGGGATTTGGGTTCCCCGCCTGATTGTATATAAGTATGACTGTATTTTTATGTTTTTAATTTACTTATATTTAGGATATTTTATTGTATATAGTTTCTATTTATTATTATTTAGTTATTTTTTTACTTTTGTTAATTTTATTTTATTTTTTGTATATACGGTGTGAATGTGTTCATTTATCAATATAATTATTGTCCCCGTGACAGAATATTATGTCTAAATAAAAAATAAAATTTTTTTTTAGATAGTACAAATTAAGAGATTCTGAAGTATAAAAAAAAAATACCTCAGCGTTAGTAAGGCTTTTTACTAAGCTAAAAAAATATTGTAGTAAAATTTGATTGAATGTGATAAAAGAAATGTCAGAGGAAAGCCTTAAAATGAATGGCGTGAGACAGGGAGATGCGCTGGCATGTCTGCTATTCAAAATTGCATAGGAAAAAGCGGTGCGGAATACACAGATCAAAAAAACAGGCAGTATATATATATAACCAAATGGTTCAAATCCTTGGTTATGTGTATATAATCTAGATATTATCATAAGATACTAGGCGGTAGTAAATGATGCCTTCCTTGCTCTAGAAGTAATGGCCGGACCACTGGAACTAGGTATAAAAGCAACGAAATGCAAATATATGACTTCTGATTTTGACATCTCAGTAGATGCTGTTCAGAATGGCTCATATAAGTTTGAATAAGTGGATTAATTTGTTTACCTGAGATTCCTAATAACTGTGAGCTCTCAAAGGATCAAATAATCAAGCAATGATATCTCAAAGGATATTGAGAAGAGAAAAGTTATTGCTAACCGATGTTACTTTGGGCTTGGAAGACACATAAGAAGTAAATATCTGTCAAGGACAACAAAATTGCGGAAATTAAAGAAGTTGATCAGACCAGTTCTGACATATGGCTTGGAGTCCTGGGTATACAAATATTTTAACAAATAATAATAATCAATTATTAAGCCTAACTTTTGACTTCCATTTGTTATGTTTTTCTTAATACATAAAACATCCAGACAAAGCTTTTATCTACATTTAAATTTCCAAATTGTGATCTCACAAGTATGGTTTATGCCTTCAGTTTTTGGCCAAAGAACGTACTCAAATTTAATTTTTTTTTCCTTTTTCTTATCACTGAAATGGCTTCTTTTTTGAGAATCACAAATCATTAGGCCTTAGGAATACTCATTTTAAATATCATTTGGAGGAACTGAATTGAAATTTTTAATAATTTAAAATCAAAACTAATCACATCCCTTATGATCAATTTTAAATTTTTATTACTACTCAGTTAACATAGAAAATAAATATATTATTTTGTTCTACATTCTTCCAATTTGATTTTGGATTTATTTTACTTTAATAAAAATGTTAAATCAAATGTTGTTGTTTATTTACATTATTTCCCCTAGTCTAAATTATGGAAAACGTGTATATAATTAAGAATAATAAATAGTAAAACCCTTAAAAAAAAAAAGATTTATTGTAACAGCCAAAATTCGAGTATTAAATACATTCAAACATGTAACATTTGATAACCAGTAAAACGTTCTTAACAACTCAGATTTGACATAAAAAACAAACTTAATAAAGTTTTATTTTCTAATTTAACAGAAATTTTTAACCAGCTTATTTTACATTGAAAATTAGTAATCAGTGTATATATGATTTTTTTGTGTTGTTCAATTCAAAACAAAACATGCCTAGTAGTCATTAACCATTTCCCAATCTAAAATTTGAACTGATGTGATGAAGCAAAGGCATTAGTTGGATTTTTTTTTTTTAACAATATCGATAGCATAATTAATAAACAAATCATTGCCATAAGAGAATCAAATTGGATTTTAATTATAAAAACTGGTCACCTAGGGCTGACCAGCAGTTCTAATTGCCAACTCTTCCTTCCCCCATATGGAAAAGAAGCCTGGGTTCAGGGGCCATAAGACTATATGTTACCAAGAAAATATATTTGTATCAAAGAAAACATTGTACATTTATTAGATACATACAGGATAAAATAATGAGGATGTGATCACCTAGGGTCATAAAAAAGCAATACACATCTATACAGAAGAATGCATTATGCATCCGAGAAGAAATTTAATAACTCCTTAGGTATTACTTATTTATTGTTCTCTTTCTTCTCTTCCTTGTCTTTTGACAGTACAGGAATCCATTTTATTAAACACAACAATCAAACTTAAGTCTTTTCCTGTTCTATTCCTCTTTTATTTCTAATCTAAAGTATCCCTGGATTAAGATTATGGAAGTCTCTGTCTAACTCGAATATTGAAATGGGATGCGTCTATTATTTCCTTTCACCCATACACGGATGCCTCGTAGTATGGATAGTTATCTGCAGCGATGAGTAGATCTCCTTTGTTGATACTGTAGATACTTGTGCTCCTCATTAACTCGATTCTCTGTGCTACAGTGCAGTTGGTGTTCACATGTCAACTCCTTTTCTGCTGGGAATCACCATATATCAAATGAACTTTTTCTTTTTAGGTGCAAATTTTGTCAAGAATCGCCCCTCTCCCTCCTATTAAGAATGGAGAACCCCGTATATATGATACACTAATGAATTTTTAAATACATCACTATTAACAATGCAAATCAACAAGTAAATAAATAAACAAGTGAAGTTTTAGGAATAATAAGTTTTCAAGCGCTTTTACAAAGAACTTAATTTCTGATCGAGGTACTGGTATTAGCGGGAAAACTAATCCGTCCAAGAGCCTCATTACTAGTCTGTCTGGTAATAAATATATATTTTTGAATGATCATTAATACTAGATTAACTAATGTTATATCAGACAGGGAAAAATTAAGTAGAGCAACATCAAATATTCTCAATAAAGTTATGGCATAATTATTAAATTTTAAATGACTGTCAACCAATATTGTGGACTGCATCAGAACATGAGAAAAAAAATTATGCAGGTGAATGTATGGCACTATTGACAAAAAAGCATTGTAAAGTAATATCAACTTTGAGATTCAATTTCAATTTCTTGTTTGAAAAATTAAGAAAGATTAATTGTTTCATCAATGTACACTGGGCTGATTGTTGAGAACATCACCTTCATTGGCTAAAATCATTACTTGTAATGAATATTTAAAGAAACCTACGCCTAATTTGAACTAGAATGTAGTAGGACATTAACTTTACAATACGAAACGATTGTCAAAGAATATTTTGCGTACATCAATTAACTTTAACCTGTAATTTTAATTTACCTTCGTTTTTCTTAGTGACTGGTACAAAATTCAATATAAAGTTGTTTTAATGGCTAAGATGTTATAAAACACCACAAAACATTACAAGTATAAACTCCTGGATACTAGCGAGGATACCATTTCCTGCAGAATCAAAGCCAAATTATCCGCCAAAACTGTTTATCTTGTACTAACATTTTTTAAAAATCTTAAGTCATAAAAGCCTAAGGGCCCACAAAAGAATCATGTAATAAATATATTTTATTTTTTTACATAAAATCATTTGAAATTAAAGTCGCAGACAATCGGTTTATACAAGTTAATCTGATATTTTTATATTAATATACAATAACCTAAACTTTAACTAGAAATGTAACTGTTGTTTTCATTGTATTTTTCTGACAGTTTTAGATTTTTCGAAATATAGAATTAAAATTAATTTAAAATATTATTTGTTTACAATTTTGTTTTTAGTCATGCGTATTATGGCAGGACTGATGCAGCTATTAAACGAAAATTGAAGTCGCCATTAAACTGGCAGCAGCTTGGAGGTGCTCTCGGTATTGTTGTTCGGACACGTTATCACGTTTAGTTCCAGTACAACCGCTCGTTTTGGGAGTTTTTTCTGTATTATTTCACCTTTGGTACTGTTTTTTAGGTATGTTAAGTCTCCTTTAATGTTTTTCAATATTTTATGAAATTTAGTTTATGTTATCTGAAACCTTGCAAACATTGGCTAATGCGCATGCGCGATCTGGAGGTATTTTGGAGCATTATATGCCTTTCCCTCCATTATTTGAATTGTTTGTTTATTTATCTCGTTTAACTTTATATTATGATATAAAAGTAGTTTTTAATTTGTTTTTGTACTGCGCTGTTATTCTTGCCATGTGTTTTATAATTATTTAGTTCGTTGTAGTATTCCAGATGTGTCAACTGATAATTGTTATCATATATCACTTTTATTTCAGAATGTCAACAGAGGTACAGGCAGTGATGAAGGTTGACAATATAGGTGGAGCTCCGAAACGTAAAAAAGACACTGCAAAGTCCGAAAATAATCCAGGAGCTACGAACAAAAAACACAAATCTGAGGATTCTAGGCATTTTAAATTTTCTAAAAAACGCTCACAAAGTTTTAATGCTGGCGGCACAAAGATGTTTCCTCCATATAAGAAGAGAAAAAAGGGAAATTTGATTCCACCAACAAAATTTCTTTTGGGTGGTAATATAAGGGATCCTCTTAATTTAAACAGTCTTCAGGATGAAGAGATTAATAAGTAAGTGTTATGTTCTTGCAGTAGTTAATTAATTTTTTTTATTTTTTGTGCTTGTTCACTATTGCTCAGTCTGGATAATGCATGGGCCAAGATCACTCTGATTACACTTGTACCTGGACAACAGCCACAAATAGCTGTGTGTGCAATACTATTACTTAACAATAACATAATGTTTTTCTTAAGTTAGAATACATTTTACTAAGAAAAAACAAAAAGTTATGCTTATATATGATCATCAATATAATACATAATCTTAATATTATGCATATGTTCCCACTATTGTCCATATTTATTAAAAGGAAGGAGTAATTAAAATTCTGGCAGTCAGTTGCCTCCATAGGGTTACCTCGATAAACCCTGATTATCTATTTAATATATTTATTGAGCATCTATTTTTAAACTTCTAAATATTTCTATGGTCTAACAGAAAAATTCTCTTACCATTTTCTCGCTATTTATGAAATATCCTTATAAATAATGCTTTATAATGTGTTGACAGTTACCTATTACCCTAAAATGTTTTAAATAAAATAGATCACACTTACAATGTTGCTTTTCAATTGCTTTAGTTATTTGGAATTAAAATAAATAAATTATAGACAATTTTACTAATAAATTTTCTTTTTAGTTATACTAAATATAATTTTAAATTGTTTTTTTTTACAGAGCTATGAATGCAGTGACCCCTAAATCATCACCTTTGCCCACACCTAAACATAGGAAAGGTGAAGTGGAGGTAATTATTCCAGCTGATATTAATGACCCACTCTCATTAGCTGGAGGTGAAGATAATGATGAAGCATACGCTGCATCGTTTAACACTAGCTATCCTCATGCATCTCGGAAAATCAAGAAGAAGAACAAAAAAAGGAAATCTAAAGGAACTTCCATCTCTAAAGATGAGCCAGAGTGCAAGTAAATATTTTATTATGTAGTAATGCCTAATGGGATAATGATTGATTATCAATATTTCTCTATAATTAATTTATTTATTATGATCTCATCATCTGGTTGAAATGTATTATTTTTGTCTATGACTTGAGGAGTAGGGTAGCTCAATAAGCCAGGCACTGCTCTAATCTCCTGGGTCCGTGTTCGCCTCTGGCAGATAATTATTTATTCTGTTCTATTAGCTGCATTTGAAAAAACTGGTTCATATCCAATATCTATACAGTTCAAACTGCTAATTGGGAAAAAAGCCTGGCAGTTGAGCATGGTTCAAATCACCACTTTGTCCAACCATTGATCTAAAAGTATTAAATAACCAGTAAGTAATGAACCTAAGCTCTTTCATGGACTGTAGTGGTACAGATTTTATAGCATTATTAAATCAATGGTTTTTATAATTAGTTTTAGTTTTTATGCTCAGTTTAAAAAATATGTCAACTATCTAATCCATCTTTTATATTCTGTTATGAATAAATTATTAATAAAGAATAGGTAAAACAGTTTATAAGATTTTTGGTCACTATAAGAATTAATCCTTTAAAATTTAAAAGGCAGAGTTCTTAGAACACCAACCAGTTTAGTCATGTATTCTTTCAGGCTAAGATTATCCCTATTGTACCTGTGCCCAGTCGTTTATTTCAGAAGGGCTGAGTGGCAATTAATTACACTGATGGTCAAGCAGCTGGTGATGCAATGAATCATTTGGCTTGATCTCAAAATTTGGAGAATTGTAAGAAATATTTCAACAGTCATTCTAAGCAAAATTAATTTTTGAATTGAATGGATTCTTTGCCTCTAAAATGTATGTAGTGTCTTAGAAGTCAAATAGGAATCAGGGGGAGAAACTATATTTTGGAAGCCCAGAAACAGATTTAGCTGGCATTCTTAGATATACCATCTAAGAATCATATAATTAGGGCAAAAATGTTTTTATCTTAGCTATAAGAAAATAGTTAAAAATTATGCTATGTTTTCTTGTGGAAGTAAAAATGAGATTCTATTCATTTATGATTTCATTAAATGAAAGAGGTGATGATTATATCTGATTTTCTCTTAATATTCAATTATGTTAGCCTCCTTTTATGATTTAGTTAAATTTTGCTAATCAATAAAAAAATAAATCATTTCAAAATCACCAAGTTGTTTATGAAAGTATATCAAACGATGAAAGAATTAAATTTTAATCATGTAAATTATCTGCTTAACCACTGATAAAAGTTATATGGGTGTTTTGATAACAATATAATAATAACATTATCAGATTCAATTCGTGAACTAGAGATTTATTGGTATTGAATTTCACCTGGGGTTTTTTTTCATTTTTTTTTTTTTTTTTTTCCTGTTGCTACTTTAATAATGATTTTTTGGGAGCTGAAATTTATGTACTGCCTAGCACAACGACACGCTGTTCTCGATATTTTATTCGTATCAGTTTTTATGAATAAATGAAAAGTTTTAGAAAATAATTTGAATCTCATGAGTTCATTGAATTGCCATTTGGCACTTCGATTTTTATTATCTTTGTACGAAAAGTTTTTGCCTGAAATAGGGTTTCTTAATTCAATTTCTTAATAAAATGCTTAGGATTGAGCTGTTAGTAGTTTAATTTGGCTGACAGTTAACTTTTTTTATATATAAAAAACCGCTTCACAATTATTTATCTAGTCTTTTATTTAACTTTTTTTTTTTAAATCTTACAGAAAGTTTTTATTAAACCTGAACTTTTTCATTATGATAATTTTTTGATGAAGAGATTTTAATACTTTTATTCAAATTACTGTTTTTATGAAAGTTCACCACAAACAGTTATTCTGAAACTTATTCATATAAGGTTATTAGGCAAAGAAAAGAGTAATTTCAGAAATGTCAAAATTGAAAATTAATTGTTATATTTTACAATTTTTAATATTTGCTGATACAACATATTAAAAAAAAACTGCAAACGAATCAGTCTTTTTTATCCACCATCGTAATTCACAATGGACCCTTTATTTATAAGAAATAGCTAAAACTAAAACAAAGCTTTCTGGAAAGAACTGATAATGACTGGACTTGTTTTAATATGAGAAGAATAAAATGATAAGATTGGAACAATATTCCTATGAATAATCCTATATTCAAAATAAATACCTGTATATATAAACATTCACTCCCTCCTTTCCTATTATATAAACTTTTATAATCCCAACCAAGAGCAAAATTGTTGTTATACTCATCCTTTACTTTTACTTGTTCATAAAGTCTGGGTGAACCTTGAACTTTTTGAAGAAACATTTTTACTATAAAGGTATAAGAATAATTTATTGCTCCAACTTTTTCTTAATAAGTTTGCTGAATACTTTTAAAAATCAAACTCGACCCCTGTTTGAAAGTTATTAATTGTTGTTCCCTTATAAGTTAAAAGACATTCTATTCATTTTTCTATAAAAATTTAATAAATGCCATTATTTATTATGGCATTTATCAATTATTAGTTTATTTCTACTTATTAAATCAATTAAGTCTTCGCTGTTACATTTTTTTTTTTTTGCTATTTAGATTAGAAGAAGTTAAAGTTGAAGAAGCGAAATTAGGTGAAACAAGTGCTGAAGTTAGTTTGCCTGAAGAGCTTGTTAAATCAAAAGATGAAGAGAAGGATAAAGAAAAAGAAAAGGAATTCAAGAGGCCTAAGTTGAGCGGGTTGGAAAAGAGAGAGAAAAAATCAGCCCAAGAAATGAAGGACAAGATTGTCAGTCCTGTTATACCTCAGCCTGGTGCTTGGCCTGGAACTAGCAGGTTCAGGAAACAAGGTCATCGGAGGTCAAATCAAGCTACGCCTAAATTTAATGAAAAAAGTCGAAGATTCCAATATGGAAACTATAACAGGTTTGATTTGTTTTTATTATAGAAATAATATCCAATATTGATACTCATTTATTTTATCAAGAAAAGATAAGTTCTTATTAATTTGAGCTTTGTCCTGAAAAAAGTTTGATAAAATTGTAGAATCCCTTGTTAACGTGTTAGACTTAGTTTGTCAGTACGTCAATGAATAGTATTGATTTCTACTTTATCTATGACCCCTGAGGCGTCTGAAAAGAAGATGGCCTCGTAATTTCCTAATTTAGATACTTTATTAGAATGGTACTAATGAGGAGGTTTTCTACAAGTCTTTTCAAGCCATTTTATTTCTCTTTATCACATTTACTAGATATATATTTATTTTTATACAGTTGTAAATTTCATAAATAATGAAAAAACTATCTATAAAATCGAAGTAAAATGGTTTATGTTGCACTCTAAATATCAGTATATTTTAAAGTTAATTTTTAGCAATTGTTGGCTCATTTTTTTCTATACATGACCTAAAATTATAATGCAATTGTTTATATTTTACAGGTATTATGGTTACCGTAATCAGGGTCAAGAAAGTGATCCAAGATTAAAGATTTTGGCAAAACTGGAACATTTTTTTGCTGGGCGTGATGTGTTGGACATTGGTTGCAATACAGGTATGTATGATTATAAATTAGTTTGAAAAAAATTCAACCTTAATGACAATTTACTTTTGTTTATTCACCTTTCCTATTAATTTTGCTTAACTTTATTTATTAATAACCGTCATTTAATAAAAATGCTTAGAATAATTTAATTGTTTAATTTATGCTATTCTTGGATCGCCAATAACAATGTTTTTTTAAGTTATTAAAAGAGTGAGATTATCAAAAATAGCAGATAATTTGTGTGGTTTCCTGATAGTTTGTCATAATGAACTATGTTGTAACCTTAAAATGTTTTAGAATATTAATTAAAAAAAGAGAGAGGATTTTTGAATGATGAAATAGTAATACCATAGGAACGTGTTTACATCTTCTGTATTTCTTTCTCCTTTTTCATTTTTATTTGTTGGGAACTTGCTGTTAGTTAACATTATTTGTAAACAATGCTGGAGGTTATATACTTAAAACCAAAGATTTTTAAATTGAACATCATTAATTCATTATTTTTATGGACATCTAATCATTAAGCACCTTAACAGTAAGGCCTTTTTCTATCTGCTCTATAACAAAGTTATTGCCTCTCTACTCCTAAAATCTTATAGTACCAAAATTTTAGTTAACCTGAGGTTTTAATTTAAGTTTATCTTCTTATCAGGATGTTATATACTAAATTGTATAATATATATTTTTCATGGTTTACAGGTATTATAAGTATAGCTATTGCTAGAGACATGGGTGCTAGGTCTGTTATTGGTATTGATATCGATAAAAGTCTTGTCGAAGTTGCAAGGCAGAGGCTAAGGAGAACTTCGAAAGAGTTTCCAATTTCAATGCCCTTAGTTTATGGGCCTTTGGATGTTCCTGGGGTTCAGGAAGCTAACACATTCCCCCACAATTTAACATTTATACAGGTTTGTTACAAAAACTTTTTACTTCTCTTCCATCGATAAAAGTAACTAGTATTATAAAGTAGCAATATTATAAAACATGATTATTTAGATAAGAAACAAAGGAAATATTTCATTACTGGATAATAGAAGATTATAAAACTTCTTCATAAGATAATAATTAAAATAATAAGATTTTTGCAAATATTATAAAATAGTTAATAATTGTGGGTTTATAGTTTACTATAGTGAATATTTGAGGAGAAGGATGGTTGGAGTGTTTAGTCAAATCAAAATGGTAAAAAATAAATAATTTTATATATATTTTTATCAGTGTAAATTTATTTTCCCAATCCTGATGAAGGCCTGAACTTCGAGCCGAAACGTTGGCGAATGTAAAAATAAATAAAATTATTTTTTTTTACTATTTCAATTTGACTGAACACCCCAACCATACTTCTCTTCAATTATAAAATAGTTACATTGATAACAGAATCAAAAGCTAAGCTATTTGTTTTTAAATGACAAACAAACAAAAATCTAATACGTCATATCAAAATTAATGAAATAAACATCATATTACAGCACTTATTCAGAGAGGATCCATTTAAATTTTTTTTTATCATCATATAGTTAATCAATAATCCATCAAATATTGACTTTAAAATTGGAAATATCTTTATAGTTTTTAAAATGAAACTTTTAAAATTTGAAATCTATTTACTTTGAAGTTTCATCTAGTGATCAGTTGCTCTTATTGATGGTAGATAATATTAATGATCTTAATTAACTTTATAACCAATTTTTTTTTTTTATAAATTTGTGATTTACATTTCAGGGTAATTATGTTCTTGAGAATGATGTATTAGTCGAACTGGAGCAAGCCCAATTTGATGTAATACTCTGCCTCTCGGTTACCAAGTGGTTTCATCTCAATTGGGGTGATGATGGATTGAAAAGAGCATTTAAAAGAATGTTCTCCCAGCTTCGCCCTGGCGGTGTGCTGATATTGGAACCTCAAGATTGGTCTTCTTATTCTAGAAAAAAGACGCTTACTGTAAGTGATTTTTCAACAATGTCAGTTGTACTAATAAGTTTGATTAGTTAAAAGCAGTATTTGATTGGATACTTGTATTAAAAAAACATTGTATAAATTTGAGCTGCAATGGAATTCATGTGATAAAGAACATATAAAAGATTGAGATTATGTTAAAGAAATTTATTATCATACACTGAATGATTCGATAAAATAACCGAATATTGGATTAAAACAGTATAATGGATTTACAAGTCAGGTTATTGAGGTATCTATTGAAAAGTGCCCCTTTGTACGCCAGTATTGATTTGACTATCTGAAGGTTACATTGTATCAATAGAAATGGCTGAAATAATTTTTTGTTTTTATTGAAGTTCTTTCAGTATCATTGATTAAATATTATATCTTATATTTGATTCATTAGGCACACTCACAGTTCTGATCTAGCCCTAAAGGTACCCAGAGCATTAAAGTAATTAATAATAATTGTTTTTATTGAAGTATCTTTTAGTATTATTGATCGTGTAAGGGGTATATTGAGCAAGATTATATCTTATATTTGATATGTTTAGCACACACATAAACAATAATCTATCCTCAAAAGTGCCCAGAAAATATGATATTACAGCCCCTTCTCCTGAAAAATTTTAATGTTTTGATTCAAAGTAACAGCATTTTAGTGTATTAAATAAATTTACTCTCGAAACTTGTGTTTTCTGCCTATAATTTAATATTTTATTACTTTCCTTTTATTTTTAATACAAAATTATTTTGCTTCCAGAAATTTGAAAAGTTATAATTGACTGTTAAAATTGTAAAAATGCAAATTAGTCAGGCTATGCTGTCATTTATGTTGTTTATTAAGTTTGCTGACGTTTTGACCCCAGCATGTGGGCGGTCATGAGGACTAAAAAATACATATTTATTTTTTTATTATGATGACCCGACCCATATGTTTGGGCTAAATTTCGGCAAATTTAATAAATGACTGAATATCCTGACTATTTGTCATTCCAAAAAAGGTTATTATTTCTTCAATATCAGAAAACAAGAAAATAACCAAATTATAATAAAAAAGTTTTAACGTATAGAAACTAAACATGCATTCAAAATCTTTAATTGACCTAATATTGACTCGTATGAGGGGTACCCCCAATATAATAACTTCAATTATATTGTTTTAATCATACTTTATATGTGAAGGAACTTTATATTTAAATTAATTAAAAGGTTTATCCAAATGTATTAACATTGTATTGGTAAATATTAACATTTCCTTTTTAAATACATCCTATTACCCTGTCTCAAATACAAAATTAAAGTATCCTTATCATTTATTGTTTTAGGAAACGATATGGAGAAACTACCAGAACATTAAATTTTTCCCTGCAAAATTTACTGAATATCTGCTCTCCGAGGTGGGGTTTAGTAAGTGTGAAGTTGTTGGAGCTCCGATGCACCCTCAAAAAGGTTTTCAGAGACCAATTAAACTTTTCACAAAGGGGGAAACCCCACCTAGTCAAACGCCTTGTGAAGATAGTCAGTCGAGGCTCAGTAGTGAATTACCTCTCAAAGAAAGCAGTGCAACAACAGCTGATGATGTCCAAGCAGATACTCTGTCGAGGATTGCTAGTGATATCTCTATGGGTGAAGGAAGCTCTATTGTAGCTGAAGATATCCAAGCAGACACTCTATCAAGGCTCGCTAGTGATATCTCTATGAGAGAAGGCAATACTACTGCAGCTGAAGATGTCCAATCGGATTCTTCATCAAGACTTGCTATTGATATCTCTACGAGAGAAGGAAATGCTACTACAGCTGAAGACATCCAAAAAAATCGTGGTGTTAAAAATCAAAGTAACTCTGAACAAATGGAAATTGAGGCAGAAACTGTTTTGCCAACACAAAGCCATAGTGTAATGTCTGCAAAGAAAACGATATCTTGTACTAAAGTTATCTCTAGAGACCAGTTACCTGAAACAGATATCAGAATTGAATCAGCAGAAAGTACCAGTACCAGTACTGAAGCTAAATCCAGTAAACCAGATTCTGCAAGTAGTGCAAATGCAGATCCTGCACAATTAAACTGAATTCAATTTGTGATAATGACTGAAAACGGTAATCTCAGAGTTAAATCTACTTACTGTTAGCATAACTTGTACCATGTATATTGGCCTCACTTTTTTTTTTTTTTTACTTCTCTATAAATATTAATGTATCTATTGTAAAGTATCAAAAGACAAAGAATCCTTACAATATACTTTTGTACTATAATTATTGATTTAATTTAATGCATGTACATTCCTCTTCAAAGGATAACATACCACTCACTTTAAGAGAACTAAATCAGAAATAAGTATATTTATTTAGTTTTATTGATTTTAAATGTTGCGGTTTAAACTTTTATAGCTAATAATATTATTGTTATGTATATTTCTTTTTGTTTTTCACTTTTTTTTTACCAGCAATTTTCTCTTATAATTGTAAAACTTTTTTTCATTATTTTTTTTATTTTTAGATTTAGTGAATGAATTTTGAGGTTTAAAAATTATTGTGTTGACTTTTTTTTTTTTAAAGGTTTAAATCTTTTTTCTTTGTAAGCTTTAATTTTGTACAATTAGTTCATTTTAAAGTAACATACAAATTGAATTCTTAGAAAATGAAAAAAATTGTTATGCTTTGTGATCCATTGTTACAATTTTTATAGAAACCTTTTTTTTTTTTTGTTACTTATTATCATTGATGAAGATAGTTTATTTTTAATTTTATATTATTTTTACGGAATAGTATTTTTTCTTGTTTATAATGTTTATGCAGTTTTCACAATTTTCTGTAGAGAATATATATTATGTTAGGTTCGTTGGTATTCCTTTTTGTATATGTGTATTGCTTAATTAAAAATTAAATTACATTTGTTTTTAGTTTTTATTGTACTTAATGGCATGTTGTTATTTATGAACTGTTAATATTTTATAAACATTGTAAACAATAAGAAAATAAATTCATATTAATATACTAAAAAATAATCTATCTTCATATCTGCTTGATGCTAAGACAATTTTCAGTATTCCCCTTCTATCTGTGAAATAAATTATTATCTGTATTATATGTATAGTCAATGTGAGAATAATGAAATCATTAGGGTGCATAACCTCATTATTTTTGTTGTACTTGTACATAGTTGTATTTATGATATATATTGAATAAAATTCTAAGAGAATTGTAATGTATATTTGTAATATATACGTGTAAGGTATGGTAAAATTAATTTGTTTCTAATCAAAATGTTTTTGTATCATGGAATGAGACAATGTGAAAATAATGAATGGATGATTTATAATAGTTATTTGTTAAATTTCAGGCAGGAGCATACAATACTGTCGATGATGTGATTATTTGTAATCTTTAGAGGTTTATTATATTTTGCTGTTATCACTATTGGTTGGAGAGGAAAGTACTAGCCTTTGTAATTGATAATTTATTTCATATTATATTTAGGAATCTATCAAGTGGCTGTTAATATCCTTGTTTAAAAGGATTCTTTGTAGTGTTTCATATTGTAAATAATGTTTTTTATACTGATATTAAAGACCATTAGTATGTACAATCTCTTGTAAGATATTAACAGAAGATATAGATGTGTCTATCAAGATTTATTTGTTTTATTGAGTTTTCCTAACCCTTTTTAATGATTCCAATATTCCGATAATAACCTTAAACAACATTGAAATGTTTAAGTAACTTATCCTTATTCATCCAATAAGAAATAATTCATAATATAATGTTAAATATTAATCCACAGTAATGATTTCTTATAAAATTTGTAATTTACATAACTTATATGTTACCTTTTTTTTCCATCTTCAGGAACATTTACCGTTTGATTTAAATAATTTATTATAATATATGAGTTGTAAATTTAATTTAATATTTTTTTTTCTATAGTGAAGCTAAACATCTATGGTTGATATTTTGGTTTTCTAAACTAGGGATGCCCAATCAAAGGCACCCATACTATTAATACTGTGTGGTACTTTTTTATTTAGTTTTAAATTTGTTATTAAAAAAAAAAAATTCATACTTTACCAGAATGAAAGGATATTTTATACTCAACATTTTTGATATACGTAACAAAATTACTATCCTTGTACATAATTTTATTCAATAAATAATGGTGCTATATAAATATTCTATAGCGTTAATTATCTCGGTAGGTATTAAAGTGAAAGAAAATATTTTTAAAATGTAGACTACAGGGAAAAACTTTTTTATCATTTGAGACTACACATTTAGGTTAGGTAGTGATAAAGGAGGTTGCATTTTGGTTAGAAATAGATAATTAATTGATCTCTATTTCATTGTGGGTAGTTCACTTAAGAATAACTCTATTGAATTGTATAGTATGGTGGAAAGGTATAGGGGATATACCCCTCAAAATGAGGAACATGGTTGTGGCCCACATTATAAAGATGTTGGGTATTTATTCCGGGTCTTGACCAAGAAAGCTCCATCTAAATTAAATACTTCACATTTTAATTTCTGACTTTACCATAAAACTGATGGATTCATAATCATAATTAATAAATAATTTCTATAAATTAGCAATAAAATCACAACATTAAATATAAAATGAAGTACATTCAATTTCAAGCTTACAATGAAGTACATACTTCATTTATAATGACTGAATAAAATAGTTACAAAAACTAGATGTCTTGGGAAAATAAAATAGACAAAGCCAACAAACCAAACATTGGAGAAATAGAAAACATAAAAACAAAAGTTAAAAAGCTTGAGGCCTTAATATTTTTCAATATTAATATTATATATAAAAATTTTAATATGAAGTGTATTGTACTATGTTAATACAACCTTTAAACCTTCTTATCCCAAAGTAAAATACCTTATTGTACTTTTTCAAACTTACAAAGTGATATTTTTCAAAAAAGTTATTTTCATGTTTTTATTAATACCATATCATTTTAAAATCTAAATCCGAAGGAAGCTTATAAAGATCCAGCAGATAATTTAAGAAAAAAAATTATTTAGCATAATTATCTATCTTAATATCATCATTTCATGAAAAATTTTAAGTAACAAAAACTAAGTTTCATTGCCCAATTCCTTTCTTATTTAAAAATGTGTCTGTTCTTCCTAATGAATTGATAAAACGAATCTATAAAAAAATATGGTTCATATTTATATATTTTAATTATTGTTTTTATATGAAGTATAAATGGAGAAAAAAATAGATGTAAGTCTTGTAATATTCAAGAATTATAAATTTCTATGAAATAAATTCATCAAAAACCTGGTAATGTTTTCTATTTATTTTATCAAACACCTTTAATAGATCTGATTTAATTTTCCAGGAAAAAGCAATCCAGAAAAAATTTGTTTATGCTGGTCAATAAATAAAGAATATATGTTCTGGTATTAGCTGGACTTTAGCTTCTGTAATCCAAGATTTTATAATATAAGTCTAAACAAAATGTTTATTGCTTCTACATAATAGATATGATTTAAGATTTTCAATTTTAATTATTGAGGCCTATATTTGTGAATTTTTATATGTTGAGAAAAGGTTTCAGTAACATTGGAACTTTTTTTTTTCCAAAACTGCCTAGTAGAATTTGAAAAAAATTCAAGTTTTATTTTTGTAAAACATCAATATAAAAATAATTAAAGGCTTGAAGAAAAATAATCTACTAATTAAAAGAAATATTACAATTTGTGGATGGATTCTTTTTAAACATTTTAATCACCTTTTGTTTTTTTAACCACAATGTTTTTGAACAGTTGAATTCTGAGAAGAAGAAACATATATCCTATAAACATGCAATCTTTTTTTAAAAATAATCTCTTTCTTTTCCTATCTCCTAAATAACTCTAATATTGTGAATTTTATAATTTGTAAGTATGAAGGATTGGAATCAGGATTCAATTTTTTGGAAGAGGGCTAAACTTTTTATTATTATTAATCATGAAAATTACAACTGTATAAAAATAAATATATATCCAGTAATGTAATACAAAGAAATATCAAGGGCATTGAGTATTTGAGATATAACTCATTCATACAATATATACAATTACAAAAATAATAGAAATTATAACAAAAATACGAAAAAGAAACCTTAGTAAAACAGATGAAATAAAATATGATATATTGAATATTTAATAGTTGACCGTTGCATTATAAAGGAAGGAGATGGTCCGGGGTTGTTGTCATAAAAAGGCTAAATAGTGGTAAAACTATTTTATTGAAAGCCTGAAATAAAGCCTCGGCTTTCAATAAAATATGATATAACACATATAAAAACAAAACAAAAATAAATGAGAAAAATAAATAAATAAAACATTCATGCTTATTTACAATATTTACAGTCAGCCGAGGGAGCTCCAAGTCGGGTCCCTTCCCCCACGTGTGGAAGATAAGGCAAGACTCTTAAGAGATCCCAGCGCTTCTCTCTCAGCCGCATCACTGAGATGGAGATCCAGTGGAGACTGAGAAAGGGCGCTAAAGCCACATACGCTCATGACTTGAGTTGAGAAGCTGGCCATTGCCAAGACTCCAATGACGTATTTATAAAATATCTCGAGGCCACTGCTTTTTAACCTTCTAGGAGGCTTGTAGGGATGGCTGGAGCTAGATGAGGATTGTGCTAAGGGATTAGGATGATGGATTAGGTTTTGATGAAAATTTTAGAAAAGGGATGGAATAATGTCAAGGAAATAAGGGATGTTAAGATCATGATGCAGAGTTTTGTTTGTAACATAATAAGGAGCATTTACTATTGTATGAAGGACTTTGGACTGGAAGGATTGGATGCGTTTGATGTTCAAAAATTTAGTTGTCCCCCACAGTTCCGTCCCCCAAGTCCGTAGGTCAAGTAACATTCTAAAACCCTTTTTTTTTTTAAATGGTACTCACAAGAACAATAAAGGATAAAATATTTATATTGCTTCCTCACTATGGAAGGTAGGGTAGCATTGTGTTCCTGTTTTATCTTGTCACAAGGTAACATTTGGTTGAAGATGTAGATGCTTTATAATTCAAAAACAGAACATATTATTATTGTTTGGCTCAGACCACTCCTAGAAAAAAATAAAGAACAAAGAGAAAAAAATAAATTATTTTCCAATTTTGTTTTTGGAGGGGGGAAGAAGGGTGTTTCATTCAATCTGAGTTCCCCTCTCTTGAACTGTTGCAACTCAGTAAATGAATAGTACCTTTTAAAACTAATTAATTATGACTAATTACTTAAATAATGCCTCATATTACAATGTTATATCTCTTTCTATTATATATTTCAATTTCATTTTAAAAAATAAGTTGAAAAGCCCAGAAGTGTAAAATTTAGGAATGAGGAAAAAAATCTTAATAAAACTTCTTAGAGAGAAATTGTATTTACTGGTATTTTTCAAATAGATAAACTTTTCTATATTTTCTATCATCAGAATGAAAATGATGAAGTTCGCATTGTAATCAAGTCATCAGCAGTTCCGAAAGACGCCTTGTTGACCACAGCGTGCGTACAGCCATTTGTAATTTTCTCTGGTTGAATTACTGATCTATCTCTGGGCTTTACTTTTCGTATTGTAAAGCTTTTGTTGCCTTCAAAATGAGTGACAGAGAGGATGGGAGTGACCGAGATGTAAGATATTTCATAATTACTATTTATTAATTAGGTATAATGTCTCTTGAAACTTGCCGCTGTATTTCTGTTTAGTGACTTGTGTACGGGTTACTACTTATTATTTATTTATTTGTGATTTTATGTTTATATATTTATTTGATTTAATCAATATCGTTAATAAGTAAATAGTTTGATTTTGGATTTTGAGGTAATAAATGGTATTCTCCGTATTGCCGGGTTGTTTTTATACAAGAATTATGAGTTGAGACTTCAGTTTTTTTTAGTATGGTGGTAAATAATAAACTGTTTTGTTTTGGCCTGAAAGAATATTCCTTTAATTGTATGCTTACTCTTCAACTTACGAGTTTTTATATGCCAATATATGTTAAAAGATCAAGTTTGATACACAGTAACTGTCTTTAAAGCACTTAAATGTATTTGTTTATTTAGAGTTATTTTGTTGTTTCAATTCAATTAGTTTCAAAGCTATCTCAGTAGGATGTTTATGGCTATGGTTTTAATTTTTTTTTTGTAGCTGAATATTTAGATCTTTCTTATTAACTATCATGTTTGTGGATTTTAAGAATTAGTTCCTTTTTTATCTTCTCTATGTACTTTTTATGGCCATGTGGTATTGAGCAGCATCATTTCTCACTTGAGCATCCTGGACTAACAGATGGAATTTAATATTATTTATATATTTGGTTTAATATTGTAAAGGAAAAAAACTTAATTAGATTTAATAATAATAGACTTAGTTAGGATTTAATAATATGGATATTAAATGATTATTTGTCCTAGGATGAAAATTCAACCAGCTCCAAATCAATACACATTTTTCCACTTCCATTTTCACATTAAATTCATTTTGAACTGGACAAAATTATTTCGCAATGAACAACAAACTCGTAGCTTTATAACTCTTGTTATGCCAAGAAACAATAAGAATCCAAGGATATCAGATCTAAATTTTTTGTAATAAATTATTCTGCTACCCAATGAATATTTTAGGCAAAAAATTAATTTTAGTCTGAAGCTCATCATTTTATTCTTATGGATATAACGTTCATTCTTTGTTGCGTAATATAATATGTTAATTGAAAAACCTCTGAATTCTATAAAGATATAAAAATTCAATTTGTATTAGGCACCTATGAAATCATGGTCGTTCAGAATTTGATTGCTGGCTATTACTCTTAATTATGTATTGAATGTTCATATCTTGTTTTTTATCGGGCAAATATAAATCCATATAAGATTTTTCTGTCCCTATTTTCTTCTGCTATATTTATTAGAGTAATATTATAGTTTATTGTCAATTTAGTATTTTTATGATGTAGTTAACATTGATTTTTTACAGTTATGGGTTTTCATAAAACCATGACTGTTTTGTAATTTTATGAATAGTATTCAGTCTGTAACTTGATTTCCTAGTGAAGTGGAATTGGTTATTAAAGCACAAAAGGTATAGAATTTAAGCTATCCTACAAGTATAAACAAATTGTTCTAACCAGTGGGATGATATGGAGGGGAGGGTAATTTTGTTAGTCCACCACTAAATAAATTTCTACTTATCTAGGTCGGATTTGAGAATGATTAGGCTAGTAACGCTTTAAATCACTCTAATCACCATGAACTAAAATTTTATTCTTTTCATTTATGCTTTAATTTATCAAACAAATTATAAGTAAAGAGAGTATTTAGACTTAATTTCAACTTAATCCAAAACCTACATCCCAGAGTCCAGCAAAATAATTCATTTCAGACATTTTTGGGAAATGAAACAAAAAATAACCTAGATTTGAGAGGGATTTCTTTAAAATCCTTATGGAGGTTTTTATTGACTTGAAAATTAGATATCTTTATATTAAAGAAATATAAAAAATATATGTTAAAATGTGAGGAGTAACAACTTACAGAAGTGGCATAATCAGACTGCATTTTGATAGGTTTTAGAAGATCTCGACCTAAGATTAAATGTTAGTGAGCTCTGTCTTACCTTTTGTAAGTCAGAATAAAGCCTGCCTTCTTAATTCATTTCATGCCACTTTAAATTACTATTGCATTTATTATTTAAACATAATGTTTTTCTAATGTATCAAAAAATTGATAAGAAATCTTTTTGGTCCTGTTCATTTCTTAAAACCACGATATTTTATGTTCATTTCAGGGACACAGCCCTGCTGGCAGTCTTTCTGATCGGAGTAAAAACGGCAATAGGAAAGGAATAGTTATGCCATATAGATCCCGTTCTAAAGAGAGAAGTAGATCTCGGTCTCCTTCTACGCATAAAAGCAAAAGAAAATATTCCCGATCAAGGTACTTATTTTATTGTATATTTTCTAATTTATTTGTTGAATGTGCAGTTTAGCCTAATCTACTGATTAATCAAATTATTTATATTTCTCTAGTAATAATTGATTATCCTAAACTGTCATTCTTTTTGTGATTTTAAATTTTTATGTAAGGTAAATAGTCAAGTCAATACATGTTTTTATTGATATATTTTAATAAATAACAATAATATCTTTTCTTCTTTTTTTTTATTGAATAAATTTAAAAAAATTTAAATGGTCAGTTTTTATTTTTATTTGTGTTAAAATGATGGTCATAAATTAAATTATTTTCAATGTTTAGGTTTATTAAGAAAAAAACAACGGATGAAAACGCATATTTCCTCCCTCTATAAAAATGAAAAAAATATAAATCTCAAATAAATAAATCTTGAGAAGATTTAAGAAGAGAAAGTATTGTTATCATTAATCAAGTTTTCATCTCTTCTGGATCAAGCCTTGATCAAGAATAATGAAAAAAAGAAAATAGATTTTTTCAAGAATGAAGACATTCTGTCTCGGGAATGTAGTGGTATTTATAAAAAAGGTAGGGAGCATTTTCCCGGGCCTATGTAGTATACATCTTATGTGTAAGATTTCCATTACTTAAGAATATACCTTAATCCTCTCAGTTGTTAACAATCACTTCGTCAGATAATTTATAGATTTTTTGTTTTTAAATTATTACTACTTGTGTTTTTGAATGTTAGGATTTCTGAATAGTGACAATTTTATTGATTTTTTTCCTACTTTGATTTTTCTTCTCTTTGTGCCTTATAACTTCCAATAATTTTTTTTATTCGGCCTTACTTTCTATGTTCATCTTCTGTTTATAACATGACCGGCAAAAATGATTAAAAAGAAGCATTTTTTTGTTTTTCGACAACTATTAGATTTGTTTTAATCGTTCATTGCTCATTTTTTTTAGCTAGAACATAAAGTTGAGGAATCCAGCATGCTTGATTTATTTATCAAGTCCAGTCTTCCTTCCCTTATGCAACTATAATAAAGGTTGCTTATTGTTTGTAACTTAAAAGAAACATAGTTTTCTTAATCTATATATAAAATTCACTGTTTTCATCTTCATATAATGATGATTAATCAAGATTGAACCTTTGAATTATGTATTATGTTTGTCACCTACTTTCATCTTTTAGATTGTTAATTAGTTGTAACTTGTTTATGTATTTAAGGTTTCCAGGCAATCCTGGGGGGTCCAGGGATTTTTAACATAATAAGGTCATCACTGAGCTTGGGTACATTTTTAGAATGCATAACAATACTGGTCACTATAATTTTATGAATTTTTTATTTATGGTTAGTTCATAATTAACAAATTTTGAAGTAAAGTACTTTATTTTATATATTTCTTCCCTCTCCCCTTCTAAAATTTTATATTTTAAAATTAATATGAAATAAAACTTGATCCTTAGGATTTTAGAGGTTCAAAAATTGTTTTATGAAGCCTTTATAAAGTTGAATTTCCTCATATAGTTGTTTTTTTCTTCTAGTTTAACAAATTTCTCCATTTTGGTAATGTGATTAATTGGATTTGATACTGGAATAGAGTTGATTCAATTATTTTCTATGAAATAAATAGGAAAGCACGTAGTGTGTTCTTAATGAAGTATATTTAATTTATATAGATCTAAGTGTTGGTACTAAATAAAAATTAAAAATCTTATTCTCTCAAAGTTCTCATCTTGGATGATATATAAACTACTAATTAAATTAAATCACTTTTTGTTATGTTTATTTCTAATCACTGGTTCTGATTAAAATTGACATGGTTTTTATGAAGGCAATACCCATTAATGTTATAAACTGTTGTGTTTGGGATAGATGATCGATTTTCATGATAAAGAAAAATAATGTTTTGAATGGAAAATTTTATGCCATGAAAGTGATGGATACTTAATCAAGATGTTAAGTGCTGTGAAAGAATATTACTTCTCATTTTGGATGACGTAAATAATGCAACGTACTCTGTGTGATGTCATCCATTAGGTCGAGGTCAAGATCGCACCATAAATACAGAAGTTCAAAGTACAGATCTAGGTCCCGTTCTCCCAGAAGATCTTACAAGAGGTACTCAAGATCCTATTCCCGTAGTGCCAGCTATTCACCACCACATTACAGAAGAGGTCGCCGGACTCACTCGCGTAGTCCCATGTCTAACAGGCGTCGCCACACCGGAAGTAGGGTGAGTGATGTTATACTACTTTGTACTAGTTTTAAATATTTAATTTGTTGTAAGTACAGTGAACCTTCTCTTAACCGACAGTTCTTATAAAAGAACAACTTAATTTTCCTAGCCAAGATTCCCATAGATTTAAATAAATTTGAATAGGTAATTCAAATGCATTGAAAAGATAAAGTGTGCATCTTCCCATAAAAAAAAACTTCCAAATCAGGAAAACCTGTGTAGCTGACCATGAGAAAATATGGAAAATTTAACATACTAATAACTGACTACTATAAACTCAGGAAGGAAAGTAATGTGTTGTCAACATTAGTACTGGTTTCCAACCACTAGGTTTTATGCTTGTCACGAGTCCTGACACAACTTTTCCCTCATTGCGTATGTTATAGACAATTTTAAAAATATTGTTTCCACTTTAGTATATTTTTTTTAATATACCTAAATAACTAAAACAGTTAATAATACTACTTAAACATTTAAAATATGTGTACAAGGACAATTAGTTTGTTATATCTGTATTGAACACAAGCAGTCTAAAATACCCCTTCTCAATCCATAAAAAAAAACTTAGCTCTCTCTGTAATTTAAAACTTACTGTTCTGCCATTATGGCACACTTGCAATGGGTTGAGCACCGTTCCCGCCGACAAGCCTTAGTTCTTCCATTACTTTTTATTATTTTACTAGATAAAATTTGTCATTAGTTATGATTAAATATTTAATGTGATTGTATATAACTTTAATTAAATAAATTAATAATTTGTGTGGTTTTTAAGAATTAAAAGATTTTGTTTGTTCTAACACAGTCCAGCTCCAGGTTAAGACAGTTCCTCTCCTGGCGTTCTAAGCTGTGAATAGTAAAGTGTGTCGGACCATATATTGTGTTATTTGTTATAATACAAAATGGGTTCTGCACTACATTAGATTATATAGATGTTATAGATCCTTTTAGTACAAATGTGACTAAAAATAGGCTTTCGTTATTTAAATTTACAATGAAATTTTTAATTATTTCACATTATAAATCGAATTCTTTCTTCAAGATAATTAAGAAAGAATTGATACTTTGTTTGAATTTTTAAAGTTAATGGAGTATTATAAAAGAATATAAATCGTAGTAAAACGCCAATGACCCTTGAGGGTAGAGGTGCGAGAGGAAAAAAAAAAAATGAAATTAGTAATTACAATGAAACAATTTTATTGATTTTTTTTTTTTTAGTAAAATGGTTTTTAGAAAATAAATAAAAGGATAAGGGTTGATGCTTTGTTGTAATCTCCCAGACTCGTGTTTCCAACTACTGTGTTCTCCCATTAAATGGATTGCACCTGTTAAAAGATCTTGTCAGCTGGATAATCCTTGGACTTATTATTTTAACTGAAAGGATTTTTCTTTTACCTCAACATGTTAATGATTGGTTATCTAGTTCGTTCTAGCACAATCCAGTCCCAGATGAAAACAGTTACTCTCCTTGTGTTTTAAGCTGTGGATAGCACAGTTTGTCAGAACATACTTACGTTTTTATATTATTATTATTATTATTATTATTATTATAAGGTAGGCACAGTCCCAGTCTTATATATGTCTTTATTTTTTAAATTCTGTTGCTGCTCAAATGTATGTCACTTTGTTTTTGTATGCAAGTACAAAATTAGTGCACTCGATAGATAAAAAGTAAAATTGGTTATTACGAATTTATTGTGTTTTTTTTATAATGGATAAGAGGTATATTTACAACTTAATAGGTTCCTTCTCCGTTGGCCGGGTTGCTTAAGTTCAAAGATCTTGTTTTGTTTTTTTAGTTAAATTATTTTAACCTGAAGGGCTTCTCTTTTACTACAAAAATAATGACTGATGATAAAGTTCTTTTTAACACAGTCCAGCTCCAGGTGAAGGCAGTTCCTCTCCTGGCGTTCTAAGCTGTGAATAGTAAAGTGTGTCTGACTATATACATTTTGTTATTAATTTTTTTATAATATCAAATCAGTTTTGCACCTACAGTAGATCATAAAGATGTTATAGCTGAAAGACTTGAAGGGAGCTTTTTAGTAGTGCATGGCTGATGTTCCCTTTCATTCTAACACAGTCCAGCTCCAGGTGAAGACAGTTCCTCTCCTGGCGTTCTAAGCTGTGAATAGTAAAGTGTGTCTGACCTTATACATTGTTTTATTTTTTATAATACAAGATGAGTTCTGCACTACATTAGATCTTAAAGATGTTATTGCTAAAAAAAAAAAAAAAAAACTTGAGGGATCCTTTTAGAGCATATGCACCTAACTGTATGTTTGTCATTGGTACAACAATCAAGTTTTAAATTGGGCCACATGATAAGAAAAAAGCAAAATTGGTAACAAATTTAAAAAAAAAAAACAATATGGTTTATTTGAGTAAAGTAGGTACTCTGTCAACTCTCCGTACTCGAGTTCCCACATATTAGGGGCTTTGAATGTGTTGCTCCAGTTAAAAGACTAACACAGTCCAGCTCCAGATGAAGACAGTTCCTTTTTCGGCGTTCTAAGCTGTGAATAGTGAAGTGTGTCAGACCTTATACATTTTGTTATTTTTATAATACAAAGTGAGTTCTATACTACATTAGATCTTAAAGATGTTATTGCTAAAAAAAAACTTGAAGAGGGACCATTTTAGAGCATATGCACCTAAATGTATGTTCGTCATTGATACAACAATCAAGTTTAAATTAGGCCACATGATAAGAAGGAAGCAAAATTGATTACAACTTTTTAAAAAAAACAATATGGTTTATTTGAGTAAAGTAGGTACTCGAGTTTCCACATAATAGGGTCTCCTTTTGAATGTGTTGCTCCAGTCAAAAGACGTAACACAGTCCAGCTCCAGATGAAGACAGTTCCTCTTCTGGCGTTCTAAGCTGTGAATAGTAAATTGTGTTGAATCATATACATTGTGTTATTTTTTATAATACAAAGTGAGTTCTATACTACATTAGATCTTAAAGATGTTATTGCTAAAAAAAAAAAAAAAAAAAACTTGAGGGATCCTTTTAGAGCATATGCACCTAACTATATGTTAGTCATTGATACAACTTTTTTTAAAAAACAATATGGTTATTTGAGTAAAGTAGTTATTCCGTCATCTCTCCATACTCGAGTTTCCACATATTAGGGTCTCCTTTTGAATGTGTTGCTCCAGTCAAAAGACGTAACACAGTCCAGCTCCAGATAAAGACAGTTCCTTTTCTGGCGTTCTAAGCTGTGAATAGTAAAGTGTGTCGGACCTTATACATTGTGTTATTTTTTATAATACAAAATTAGTTCTGCACTACATCGAAATACATTTATGTTATAATTAAATGACTTTTGGAGAAGAGATCCTTTTAGTACGTATGCGCTTAACAATAAGATTTTTTATTGTTATAATAATACTTTTTTGAACGTTAGAAAAATGATAATCTCAAATAATGTTTTTAAAGCCCAAAAATAATTAAAAGTATGACATAATTAAAAAATTTATAAATATTACGTGTGAAATTAATTAAAAGTGATAGGTTTTGCTATCTGTAAATCAACTGATGTTCTGATATTATTAGAGACTATATTATCACATTTTAAGCTATGGATCTATTTTCTAGGAGACACACTATTTTAATAAGGATTCTTCAAATTAGTTCTTTAAATTAAATCCCCCCATTTACTAAGGAACTGGCTCTAATAACGAAGTGTTATGTGCAAAAGAGAGAGTGGTGATGTTAAGACGAGTCTTGATTAATATGGCACTGCTTGTCTCTCACTCGTTTCAAGCCACACAGATGTCTTTTCCAATCAGTTCAAATTTCTCTTCATTAGTTCTTCAAAATCGATCAATTGCCTTAAGCATTTTAAATAATCGTTGTAATTAAAAAATATTTAATATTTGTAGGATAATCCTGAGCCAAACAGATGCCTTGGCGTATTTGGACTGAGTATTTACACCACAGAACAGCAGATTCATCACATTTTCAGCAAATACGGTCCGGTAGAAAGTGTTCAAGTTGTCATGGATGCTAAGGTAATATTATTTAATTACTTCTGACGTGTAGCTAGTTTTTATCCTTTAATCATCATCTGGAGTAGAAATTTTATATAATTGCATACTAGAATCAATTATTTTTATCATTAATTTCATGATTTTTTTTTTTTTTTTAAATGTAAGTGTACTATTAGAGTTAAAAATTGAGCTTATTTCACATATTGTAAACATTTAAACAGATATATGCTTTACCAATGCAAGGAAAAACAGACATTGATAACAGTATTTTTATCAGTTGTTTACCTGTCCCTTGCAATATTAATCAGTTTTAATCTTAACTATGTGATTATTTATTAATTGCATATTGGTGTGAACTAACAATAACCTCAATATTACATGACAACTAAATAAGGTTTATTTCATTTTTTTTTCCTCATTATATCTATCATTAATTATTCAAGTTCAAATATCTTTTTTATAGCATTATATATTCAACTGCTTTAATTTGTCCAGAATGGATATAGAGGTATAGTAGTTGTTGCTAGTCTTGATCTTTAACGTACTTGTTATTCTCATATCACCTTAGAGTTTCATTTTTCATATCAGTTTATGTCTAATTGTTGATCATTACACTTAAGATAATGCTACTGATTAGTAATAGAAAAAAGAAGTATTTTATCTAATGAAATGAGTTCATATTCTGATATAGTATATAAGATCTTTTCTTGATGTGAGTACTGGTAAGGTCTGTCTTGATGGATATAGAGGTGTAATAGTCACTTGCTAGTCTGGATCTATTTAACATGCTAGTTATTCTATCGTGTCGCCTTGAGTTTCATTTCTCATATCAGTTTTATGTTAAAGTATTGGTGTTTCAATCTAATTATTGGCCGTTATACTAGATAATGTGAATAGCAAGTAATAGATAATGAAAATGGATAATCAGCTGATAGGACATCTACATTTTTTCTGTTTAAGTTATAGAAATATTCTTTTTGTTATTCATTACATACATTTCATTTAAAAATTTTAATGGTATGAAGGCCTACATTGGTAGGCAAATCTTAGTTTTTAGGAATCTGTTTACATAGCTAATCGTTCATGTTTTGTTCTTAGGGAATACATGACCATTGTCTGTATCCTATTTTACAATTCTTGGTCAATTACAAATTGACTCACAAAGTGAAATTATTCGGTTAATTACAGTTCTCATCCATCTAACCAAACAATTGTTTATATTGTTCTGGTACTTTAGAGAGTACTACTGAAATATTCATAAAAAAATATTTAAATTGAGTTGATGGCTGTTTTTGCCGAGCTATGCAAGGAAACAGCGGCCAATGAACACGTTTTGGTTTATTGCCTTCCTGAGCCTTGCTATATAAACTTGCAATTGTTCTTGTCATGGTTTGATCTGCTCAGGGATCAAATTTTTAGGCAATGGCATACAATAGAATAAAATAGAAACGTATTTGTCTGTGATAATATTATTGATAGTGTTATATGCTCCCTTTTTCTAGTCTTAAAATAATTGTGGTTTAAGTAGCTAAGACACTTAACTCTCAACCCAAGTTAAAATCTTGCGCTGTCAGATAAATACAAATTGACTTAAAAAGTGAAATTATTCAGTTAATTGCAGTTCTCATCCATCTGACCAAACAAATTGTTTACGTTCTGGTACTTTAGATAGTACTACTAAAATATTCATAAAAAATATAAATTTTTAAGTTGATGGCTGTTTTTGCCGAGCTATGCAAGGAAACAGCGGCCAATGAACACGTTTTGGTTTATTGCCTTCCTGAGCCTTGCTATATAAACTTGCAATTGTTCTTGTCATGGTTTGGTCTGCTCATGGAACAAATTTTTAGGCAATGGCATATAATAGAATAAAATAGAAACATATTTGTCTCTGATATTATTGATGGTGTTATATACTCTCTTGTTCTAATCTTAAAATAATTGTGGTTTAAGTAGCTAAGACACTTTACTCTAAATCCAAGTTAAAATCTTGCGGTGGCAGATAATTAATTTATTATAATTCATAATTTTCGGAACTAGTCTGTGGTTGGGAGGCTCAGTGTGGGGTTCTATAGGAAAACAATCCTGAGTCAGTTTTAGAAGTTTTGAGTGCACCTGTTTGTCTCAGAATTCTTATAGAAAACAACTTATGGTTTTTGCATAAAACATGAGATGGCGGAGTGCCAGAAGTTATTTAAAATCTTGTTTTCTGTTGGAGAAAACACTCATAGATACCTTTTACATTGCTTAAAACAGCTTAAGGGTATCATACCCTTAGCAGAACACAGATTTATGAATGGTTTTTATGTTTTAAGAATTAAGATATGTTGATTGAAGATCTACCACGTTAGCCTATTAGAATACTGCCACCGCCGAACCATTGATATCCATTATCTGAGGTAAAAGGATGGATCTTGGGTGCTGTAAAGATTGTTCCTTCACCACAACATACCTACCCATACCAAACTTTCTATGAAAGAGTTTTTGACCAAAAACTGCATTACACTCAATTGTTCACCCACCCCACCCTTTCCCTCTATTCACCAAAACCTTGGCCTCTTGTTGCTTCTTTCCGTTTCCTAGACTTGAAAGTGTATGTTTTGAAATTGCTGAAAGATCCAAAGTACATCTCAATATACAATTTAAAATATTTTTTGAAAAATATCTGAAAAAAAAAATGGGACAAGCTCATTACAGTCAAAAATGATTACTTTGGTGTAAATTTGTTAAAAAGTTAAAACAATTCCTGTTTTAGTCCCCTTTCGTATCTCCTATATCATATCCCCTTATTTGGTATGGGTTATGGCAACCCTATTCAGTTGTGAATAAATTGCTGGTTCGTATCATGTTTTTCTATAATTTGCTGAGATATAGTATCGTACCTAAGACACATTTATCATTGTAATTGTGTCACAATTGTTTTTATTTTATTTTATTATTCAGCAGAAAAGCTGAATGTTTTAAGGATGTTAATTAAAGGAATGTTTAACAAAGCTACCTTATCTTTGCAATGAGTTGACCAGTGCAAGGAAAAACAGACTTTGATAACTGTATTTTATCAAATGTTTACCTGTCCCATGCAACATTAAATGGTTTAATTCTTAACTGTGTAATTATTTATTAATTGCATGTTTATGTATCTTGAACCGACAATTCGTTAATTTAAAAAAAAAAGTATTAACTAAATCTGAATATCAAGGAATTTTGTGCATTCATTGTTATTATAATTAGTACCATTGCTGTGATTTATTCATTTCAAAGTTAAATTTTGACGTTCCTGGTAGTCCGTGGTGCTGACCTCTTTATATCAGATTATTAACATCTGTCTATCATAAAATTCGGGGGCCTGGAGAGGGAGAAATGGCCTACAAAACTGTTGAGCCATTTATCTTATTCTATATACCTCGTTATTTTTATATGTTGGAGGTGGAGCTCATGCCAAACGGCCTAATATTTTTGTAGCCCACCTTTTTATTATCGATTGTGTAATTTAATAAGATAATTTTCAAGTGGAGAGCAAGTTGTGTTCATGAGTTTTTAGTACCTAGTTGAGTTGACAAAGTTTGCCAATCTCCAGATTAAAAACACCCCAATTCCGAGAATTTTTCTAAATAAAAAATTTGTTGTGTTACGAGGAGATAAAACTATTGTAAGTTTTTGGTACATGTTGATAATTCGATAAAAAAATAGGTCTCTACAACGGACTAATGATATTATTTGCTAGGCCAGTGCAAGGATAAAACAGACATTGATAACAATATTTTATCATTTGTTTACCTGTCCCTTGCAATATTAATTAATTTAAATCTTAACTGTGCAATTTTATATTAATTGCAGATTACTGTATTTTAAACTAACATTACAGTAACTTGGTGCTCATGAGTTTTTAGTACCTAGTTGAGTTGACAAGTTTGCCAATCTCCAGATTAAAAACGCCCCAATTCCGAGAATTTTTCTAAACCAAAAATTTGTTGTGTTACGATGAGATAAAACTATTTAAGTTTTTAGTGCATGTTAATAATTCAATAAAAAATAGGTCTCTACAACGGACTAATGATATTATTTGCTAGGCCAGTGCAAGGATAAAACAGACATTGATAACAATATTTTATCATTTGTTTACCTGTCCCTTGCAATATTAATTAATTTAACTGTGCAATTTTATATTAATTGCAGATTACTGTATTTTAAACTAACAATATAACGTGTCAATTATATATTATGATATTCAGTCTAGTATACTAGCCATCCTTAATTGTAGTTTGATAAACTTGTAATCTTACAGTTACGAGATGTTACTAAATCATGCTGTAAATGACAGGAATTTCATTTATAGTGATTTGCTTTAGTGTTCAATAAAAAACATTTATCATTACTTTCATTATGTGAGTTTTATCATAAGCAAGTGCAACAGACATGAAGTTTATTATAAGTGATGTCATGTCTTAAATAATCTTGCTATATAAAATGGTTTTGAGAACCTTTATTTTCTCTTATGTGAGATTGTAAACTACATTACAAAACCGACATATTTATATTCATATACCATTTTAATTATTGATTCGCACAAACGAAAAGAAGAGAAAAAAATGAAAAAATAAAATTATAAATATATTGGAACCTACGGCTGTTATGGATATAGATAAAGAGGGGAATACATGTACATTACTGACATTTAATTAAAGATAAATTTTGGAAATAAATTCTTTTCTGTAAGTGTATTATTTATATATATATATATATATATCAATGATGTATAATTTATTTAATTATCTGCTTCCAGACTGGTCATTCTAGAGGCTTTTGCTTTGTGTATTTTGAGAATTATGAAGATGCCAGAGTCGCAAAGGAACAGTGCACTGGAATGGAGATTGACGGGAAAAAAATAAGAGTTGACTTCTCCATCACGCTGAGAGCTCACACACCAACCCCGGGGATCTACATGGGAAAGCCTACCTAGTAAGTTACTAGTTGTATCTATAGATGAAACATTTAATTAATGTGATAAATACTTACTGTATCTATAGGTGATATATTTAATGTGATAAATACTTATGTTTTTAATCAATTTAACGTACTCATTATTAACCAACGGGTGTCTGATAGGATTATTAACTAGCTGTACCTCTTAATTTTATCTGCCTTATATATAGAAAACCTAGTACACGTTGTTGAGCAATTTGTCTCGAGACACAGTTCTTTTTCTCATCTTCCCAGTCCATCGTGAAGGACATAGTCTTGTGTGAAATGAGTTTCTGCTTAGTGCTAATTACAATTGAAAGAACTCGAAATGTAAATGTTAGTGAATGCGAAAGGTACTCACAGAAGAACCTAGGTTCGGTAATGCATTAATCATTACCATCTACATCTAGTAATAGTAATATCCTCGATTTATGTGTAAAAACTAAAGAACCAACTTGGCCGGAGTTTTTGATGGTTCCTGCACTTAAGACCTTGCTTAAGAATAGGTTTTGAATTATTTAAAGAATGGACATCAACAATATTTTTAGTCCCTCCTCTCTCTCTCTATCTCTGTCTGTAGTTTTCTCTGCACCCTGACCCTCCAGATTTGGTGTAACAATTTGTTTTCCATGTGGAAAATTATGTTCTGTTTAACAAAATTTTATTAAGCCTCAATTATTTCCCTATGTATGTTGTTACATTACATTTTTATTTGTTGTGATTTAGGGATAAACAAGGAAACAGCGGCCAATTAACACATTTTGGTTAATTGCCTTCCTGAGCCTTGCTATATAAACTTGCAATTGTTCTTGAATTGTTTGTTCTTTGTATTTTAACAAATATTTGAGCAATAGCAAACATTTTTTTCAAATAAATTTTTGTATTTATTAATATTTTTATTGTTTCTATTTAAGTTAGCTGAATATTATTCTAAATTCTATTTTTCTTTCTATTTTAGCTCTGATCGTTACCGAAGGGACAGAGATTATGGGTAAGTTGATTATTGTTTATATTGTGTTGTAATTAAATAATAGTGTTGCTATTTCACTGCCTAGAATGGATTTTGTTACAAATCACTAACAAAATAGTATTTTCTTTACAATTATATCTTTAAGTTTTGTTTCTGTATTGTGCTAAAAAAAAAATTTAAAAAGTTATTTTTATTGATTAAAGTAAATATGCCAATTTTTTGTTATATTTAATTATAAATGGTGATTATATTTTTCTTAATTTTTTTTCCATTCTCTAGGGATTACTATGGGGGCGGCGGCGGCGGTGGTGGTGGTGGTGGTGGAGGCGGAGGCGGTGGTTACAGAGGAAGCCGTTATAGATCACCATCCCCTTACTATTACTCCAGTAGGTCTCGCAGGAGGTATGATAGATATGACAGGTCCAGATCCCGCTCCTATTCTCCAAGTAAGTATATATTCTCTTATATGACTGTGAGTTAGGTCAGTATTGATTTTTATTAAGAAAGATAATGTTATTTTAATGATGCAAGTATGTTATAAATATATTTGTGAAGTACCTAGTAACGGGTGTATAAAGATCATTTTATATGGTCAAGTTTTTCGAATAAAGCTTAGTACTAGAAATTGCAGTTAAGTACTCGAGTTTTCAACCACCTAGAGAGATCGCCCTATACTTACTAGACTCTTTTACACATGAATGAATTCAGCCAAGAAACTAACAGAGACAAACATGAAAAAAAAAAAATAATAATATACACACATAAGCACTTTAAAATTATCTCTTAACAAAAAGCTAAACTGGCCATCTCTACTTTCATTCGTCTCGGCTTTGGCCGGGATTGTTTCACATCAAGAGATTGATAGCACATCAAGCATTTACAACTAGTGCATGAATACCCCTATTATATTTTTTCTTTTGTATTTGTTCATTATTATTATTCTTAGGGGACTTTGTCCCAGAATAAAGTTTATTTTCTATTTCTACTTTTCCAGTTATTCATGTGTTTTCCTTCTTAATTCTCCTCCCCCTCCCTCTGAAATTTAAGGAGAATTATGACTATGGTTTGACACTTACTGTAAAATTTCCTTTCGTTTTATACCTCATTCATTAAAATCCATCGTTCCTAGGAGCCAGAGAATTGATCACTGCAAAATTCTGCCTTATAATAGATATTATAATAAAACATTATCGCTTATGAATCCTTGAACTATAATGTAAATAGTTGGCAGTTATTTGATCTTTTTTCTAATTGACCCCAGACTTTTCCTTCTTAAGGAAAAGGTAATTAGAATAACTCAGGCCTCGTACAAGATAGCTCTCAAAATCGTGTATAGTCCGATAATGAAGTTTTGTTAAATTGTTTTCCATCCCTCCACAGTAGTTAATAGTTTCTACAAGGATTGAAGTCAGTCCTGATAGTATTTAAAAAATATTTTCAAAAATATACCTTTATAAGGTCAAGGCATGGTTCACACAATTGCTAACTGGTCTTAACTACTGTGGGTGAGACCCCCATTTGAATTTTTAGTCCATTCTATTTAGATGAATTTATTTGTGCACTGTTATCATTTTATATTCTTTCTAATGTTATTTATTTGATATCTCATATTTTTCGTTTTTGTTTTCAGTGGGATATGGACATTATTGATCATATGTGTAAGTCTAACGAGAAATTGCTGCTGACCTTCCTCCATATTTAATATAGACTAAATTATAATGTAATAATATTGTAAATAATTGTTTATATAAGATAGATTAGAAATAGATTTATTTTTACTAGGCAAGTCTTGCCTTATGTTGTCGTTTTATTGAGTGATACCAGTTTGTGTTATAAGAAAATATTATCATTAGCTAATAATTAGTTTGCAAAATGTTTAGTATTGTGCTAGCTAATAAATTAATGATAAAAAATGTTCTTTTGTAAACCATTTGTAAGAATATACAAACTTTATTTAGTTCATCAAGTCTTAAATTAAATTTGTCTCATTTTCTATTTTTATCCCTTAATCTCAAATATGTGGCAATTTTCATGCTTGAAATATTGAATGATTCCTGCTTTGCTGCCATTACTTCTCACCATACCTACTGCTTTAATGGAATACAAAGGAGTCCATTTCATTGGTACTGCTCGGCTGTCTAGGTATGATGTCATATCTATACTGCTCCTAAGGCAGTTGAAAGTATGATGGTTCTAGGTTATTAGTTTCACTTACCTATATATGAAATGTATAGTAAGGGAAAGTATTGCAATCGTGAAAGTTTCCGAATCTGAGTTTTTAACAGAAATACATGTTTTGAGTTCCCCTGAGTTGAAATAACCAAGTCCCGCAAAATGGTGTGTGTGTAACAGTCTTGCTAGAAAAAACAAGAAGTAGTATGAAAGTGAAATTGCATATTTAAGGTTGTTATATGCTTGGGATGTGGTACTTTATGTTATATCATGGACTTAACACATTTTTACGATAATCTTTGAAACGTCTCTTAAATATTTCATTAAATTCATTTTAACGATGTAAAATTAAGCATTTTTAAATAAAATATAGGTTTTATTCTGATTTATCTTTTTTAACAAGGCTTATATAGCTCATTTTCAATAATAGCTAGTTAAAAAAAGTACCTTTAATTTTTTTTTTAATTGACTATTTCACATTTATCTATAATATAAAAGATATTTAAATATGAAATAATTTGATAATTAACTAAAGGAGAAATGAGAGATCATAACGGTAAATAGCTGTAGTTGAGGAACCTAAGGAATACGAGCTCGTCCGAAAGATTAGAACATGCTTCTATACGTAACCTAAGCTTAATATATTAAGGATTCCGAAAATATGTAAACATACATATACAGTTTTCATAAATGCTATTGTTGGTATTATTTAATATTTAATTTATAAGGGTACTAATACAAATAAAAATACCCACAATGAAATATAAATCAATATAGCGTTTATAATTTTCACTTTACTTCCCCTTTGTCTGAAAATAATTATTTCTGCTTAGAAGAGGGTGGTAAATGAAATTTGTGTGATGGATGCATCACACCAGATTTTGTTATGGAATGTAATAAATGGAGGAAGTTGTTATAACAATCAATTGTTATATTGATGATGATCATCTTGCCTACGGTTCTTTTTTTTTTTTTGTTATCAGCCTAAACAAAATTAAATGATTAATTTAAACAAAAATAATTAAAATGCTGATTTATCAATTACCTAATGATAACTCATTAATACCAACATACCTATACTCTACCTAAATGACCACCCCATTACCTTCACCTCCTCAGTAAAAATTCACCTCTAGGCATTTTCATAGACCAAACCCTATCCTGGAAACACCATATTGCTCACATTACCCGACAGTCAATTGGTACCTTGAAACTATTCCATCGCTTCCGCCATCTCCCCACGTAGACTCCTAGTAACTTCCCCCACCTTGATTACGGCTGTGTGGTGTACGGTGGCCTCTCGGCAGAACTCGGGGAGAGATTGAAAAGAATTATGAATGCCTTCGTAGGATTTGTCACAGGGGCCCTGACGTATTCCCGTGTTTCACACCACTATGCTGAATTAGGATGGCTCTTCCCTTCCTTCCGAAGACAATATTTCCTAGGCACATTCCTTTACCAAATAATCAATAGTCATCGTCCATCCTACGCATACCATCTCCATCTCCTACAATTCAAATCATCTATCCACACCCTCTCCACAAGATCTCGTCCTTCTGACCTTTACACTCCTTTCCACAGATCTGCATCATTTAAACATTCCTTCGTTGTCCGTTCCACTGCATTCTGGAATTCCATCCCACTAAAAATCCGCCATACATCATCCTTATCCACCTTTAAAACCCTCTTATTCCAATTCCTCTTCACAATCCAATCAGACGCTGGTTAAATACTATGTTATAAGGATTTAATTTTCTTTAGATATTATTTTTTCTCTTATTTTTTTATTGTTTTATTCTATGTTGAACGTGAATTTTCATCACCACTCACTAAGCATTGTGAGTAGATAAAATTTATTTTTCTTAAGTTCTAATTTGTTATTCATGAAATGTATTTCAGTGAAAGGTATTTTATTTCTAATTATCTTCATCATACTTCTCACTATGTGTATATGTATACTTCATTTTATTTTCTCTTCTCCTAATCTTTACGCATAATCACTTAAATATCTTAGGGAACATATGTATATCATTATTTATTTTTTTTGTTTTAGTTTTTACAATATCTTTCCCTACATATTAACAGTTATTATTATTTTTTTAATTTTTATATTCCATCACTACAATGCTTTACCTATAAAATAATTTTACTTTCCTTTCTAATTTCATTAAGTGATTATTATGCAATTATTTTAGTTCCAATATTGTAGTACTGAACCCCTACTACCCAACTGTCCTCGTTAATTTATCCTTAGAGCTTAATTAATACTTAATGTATTACATGTATTTTGTTATTATTCATTGTAATAAGTCTTTTGACCAGATTTATAGTTAATATATATGAACAATACTGTTATTCTAAAGGGACCTAGTCCCAGAATAAAGATGATTTTTCTATTCTATTCTATTCTATTATTGCGACGTCTAGTAATTTAGCATGGTCAATTAAATGTGACAGCAAGTAGAGCACTTTCATTTAAAATTTTGTAATTTTATTTCCTATGGCAATGGGCAAGGCTATGTACGAAACAATAACAGAACATTGTTTACAGAGAAGTTCTGCATAAAAATGGATTTAAACTGATTTGAAATTGCTAATTTAAATTTATTTTTTACTTGCTTTATCACAACATTAATTTATTGTGATAACACAAATTAAAATGGAAATTAAATATTTTGAATGGGTATATTTTGTATTACTTATAAATAATTTTAAATAGTTTAAGCTCGATTTTTAATTGAAATTGAAATTTTGTTCATATTAATAAATGAGGATTTTTCAATCGTGATTTACTCTTTATGTATTGAATTTATTTTTTATTTAATTAAATGTTTTTCTTAAATTTTTAATGGCTATGGTCGAATTTCGACCACTGGGCGAACACTAGTCAGAATTATTTATTAAAATTAAGTTTACATAAGAGGCATAAAAGGATTTTATTCTATAAAACCTTTCACTTCACAAAATGTTTTGTCTGTTTTGTTTTTTTAAACTATATTCAAAAAGTCTTTAATTAGAAACTATTCTGATACCAATAAAGCTATATTTTTTTTTTTTTTACTTATCTTTATGCACCATTTTCGCATTTCAAGGAACAAAAATGTCCTTTATGGAGCATGGAAAAATTAAAACTAATCCTAGAATTACTGGATAATATTTATAAATTTATAGAAATAATAGATTAGTTTGCAGTAGATGACTGTCTTTAATACAAATATGCCCCGTATCTTGATTGCTGACCATTTCAAATAAAATAAAAAAACACTAAAATAATAAATAATTTATTTACATTATATGGTAACTCATTAAATTGTAGCTATAAAATTATTAAGTATTTTTAAATAAATACTAGTAGGATTTTTGACCGCTATTTATGGGATGCACATGTTACGTATTAGTAGTAAACAAACCACTCTCCCTCAACATCTAAATCATGCAAAGGTATCTTATCCAAGTCAAGTATGTTTAGCTTTTAAAAACCTGACCATAACTGATGTGAATTCGGCAGTTTAATGTGCACACCCTGGGAGTATCAACTTCCATTGCTGTTAATAACAAACTAATTAATAACAAATGTATTTGACAAACTAAGTTTGTTTTGTTCCTTGAAATTATGAAAAGCTCAAAATGTACTGGATCATATCAAGCATGTTCTATATCTTTTACTTTAAAGAGCATCTCGTTGATGTTTGTGCAAAAAGTTATATATAACAATTTTTCATTTTTATTCTATTTGTGCATATGGCATTTTATAATTGGCAAGTGTAATAAGTAGTCTGCTACTATGTAAAATAGGAAAGAGAAATAAAACATGAAAATTTTTACTAACTAATCTTAAAGAAATAATAGGTTTTTATGTTCTCCTTTAAGAAAACTTAATTTTTACATACGAATAATACAAATAAAAGTGATTCAATTATAAACTGTTTATTTCACTCATTTCTTTAACATACGATTGCCATTTGTGTTAGATTTATTTTATTTTTTTTTGTTTAAAGTAGCATTTATTTTAATAATCAGTGGTGGTTCTGACGTAGTTTATTCCTGATGGCATGGAAACCTTATCAACACCCTTGGGAAATAACTTCGGCAAGTCTTCATCTTTCACAGTAGGGAGGATCATGATCTTATCGCCAGGCTAGAACAATTTGATGTTAAAATATAATTTAAGTATACATTACATTAATAATAAAAAATATAAAGTACTAAGTAATCACCACATGTGATGATACATTCCATAAAATTCTAAATTTTATTTCACTAAATGTAAGAATTCATTGAAGATAAATAATTTCAAATGGTGGGAAGGAATTCAATATAAAAAATGCAATATATATCATATTCGTGGCTTTGTTGAGCTTATTGAAATATGAATTAAAAGTTAAATATAATATTCAATAATATAAACTTACCACCCAGTTGGCTGGTGTCGCAACAACCTTCAATCTATCAGTGAGTTGAAGGGAATCAATTACTCTTAAGATCTCACTATAAAAAACAAAAAAGAATAAATTAAATAATATCTATGCTAAACTTAAAATTACTGTGTCATAGAGGGAAAACATTTTTATATTGTATTTACATAAGTACTCATTAGTTATAAACTGATAATGGAAACTTATACTATGGAAAGTCCATATAAAAACAAATTAGTAGTTATATTCCATATTTTTACTTTCACTTACCGATATATGAAATATATAGTAAGGGAAAATTCAGGTTTCTATTATTGTTTTGTTATAGTATGAGCATGGGAAAAAATCACATCAATTTGGACTGTAATAGAACTCAAGTGCTAAAGAGCATTAGACTGAGATTAAATTTTTTAAATACAAATAAAAAAGTTTCATATTTAGCTAAGAACTGGAAATAAAAGAGCGTTTGGGAGATATGGTGGGGATTGGGTATGTGGCCTGCGTTCGCTGCAAAGATGGACAAATGCCACTCTGAGTATGGAGTATCAAGTATTTTACTCAAATACAGACTTTTTTTGAGAACCAAAGAATTTAATTACTACTTCAGTTGATTCCAAACGATTAACAATAACTAAAGCAGTGATTGAATTCCTAATAGTGATTCAATTTGAGTAAAAGAATTGTAACTCGGTACTTGAAGTAGGATTTGCCCATCCCTGGTTCACTGCAGTTCCCAAACATCTGTTAGCACTACTTTATAAACATGCATTATAAAAAGGAATTAAATTAATTTTAAACTAAATATTTCTATTCAGAGACGACAGAGTTAGAGAAACAATGTAAAGTTACTTCTTGGATAAAAGTTTTGAAACTGGAAATATTATTCTAAGCAAAAAGATATAAGGTACATGGCGGTGTCCCCACCACTTTTCTTTAACAATAATTATCTTTGTAAATATTAAACAGAAAAATTCGAGACTTTATGTATTTTTATTGTTTTAACATAATCTTTATCCATGAATAAAAAGTGAAAATTCTTGCAAGTATCCAATTATGTCAGATTAAAATCAATTATTGTCGGTTTATATTAATCATATAATGGAAATGAAATTAACAAGAAACACTGAAAATATTGAGCTATTATGGTAAAATTAGTTAAAACTTACTCGACATTTCTGCCTGTAGAAGTTGGGTACACCATAGAAAGTCTTAATCTCTTCTCTGGGTCAATAATGTAGAGGGCCCTTACAGTCATGGCTGTGTCTTCATTATCACGATCTCTCTCGTCTAGCATATCCAGCTTGACGGCAATCTCTCGAGTATCATCGGAGATAATGGGGTATGGAAAGTCACCGGGAATGTCTCGGCAGTATGATTTTATGTCCTGCAAAAGATATAATTTATGAACATTAGGTTAATCATATAAATTGATCTAATCACTGCTAGAACCATTGCTATTTCAGTCAATATTAAAGTAAGAATCAGTTGAAAAAATTCTCACTGCATAATTTTATGATTATATCCATAAACTCCCAAGGATAAGGCGAGTTTCTAAACTTAGCACCCATTGAAAGGAATTCAGCATGTTTCCTTATTCATCGATATAATCACCGATGGCTCAGCAGTTCCATCTGCTATTGGATTAGATAAATGAGCTGGATTTTAACTCAATAAAATCAATGTTGCTATTTCTCAATTTACTTTACATATTTATATTTAGTTGACTTTCAAACTGATCTCTATTATTTTAAACTTATGTTTATCAAATTCAACGATTTAGTAGATAATTATTTTCCTATCTTTGGTTATATTTTTCATGTTTGTTTAAACCTTCTAAGTAGTGTTAAACTTCCGCGTTCCTAATCTCAGCGTCAATCCCTATCCTTCGGTGTTGGATTTAGTCAATTAATAGATTCTATCGATTGATAGATGGAATTGAGCCGAGTTAAGGAATTTGTCCATATACTTTTAACCAATAAATTTAAAAAAACTATTTTTCTGGGCATAAATAGGATTATGTTAGCTAAGAAGTAGAAAAGCCTTCAAGATATCAAAGAAGCATTGGAGGTATTTAATTTTTTTTTTCATTTAATATGAAAATATTAAAAGTTTTGACGATTCGATCCTAATTATATAACACAATTTTTTTATGATGTTGAAAATTGTATTACAATGATTTAGATATGTAATTGATGCTTGTTAGCTAAAACCGAGAGACTTTCAATTCCCAAATTAAGGATTGTTTTTGCAATTAAAATTTATTATTTCAAATACATTTATGTTTTATGAGAAAACTTTTATTGTGTAATTATTAAAACCAACTAATACTTACATTGACCCAATCGGTGTGAGCTTGAAGTTTGTCACAAGACAACGCACAAATCTTAACGTTCCTTTTACAAAATTCATTTTTGTGGACAGCAATTCTTCCCAATTCTGTTGTGCAGACAGGTGTGAAGTCAGCAGGGTGAGAGAAGAGCATGCACCAACTAAAATAAATGTGGAAACATATTTATTTTAAGAAATATATATATATTTTAATTATTTATCACTAAATACAAACCAAACTTATATTGTCCCTAAAGAGAGCATTGAATAGATGATTCTTATTTTTATTAAATATGGTCCAAAAAATGATATCTTTCTAAGAAAATATATGTTGCATTATTGAATAAGAAGTTGAATAAAGTTACAACCAAATTTTTACAACGAATCTATTCTAAAATGAAATGTTTTCCTTATCAACGTTTTTTTCTTAAACCAGGAACACAGTACAGTGATACATACTTCATCTTGTAACCTACAATATTTTTATATATGAAAATTCACAGAAATAGGTCGTTTTCTCTATAAAATCAATTAATTTAATTACCCGTTTGCTTTCCACTTAAATCGTAAGATAATATGATCATAAAATCGGCAGAAATAAAATGTGGCCTACAACAATATTGGTCCTTTTGGCCTCGTTATTTTAATTTATTGGGAGTCGAAGCCACGCCAAACGGCCTCATATTTTTCTAGGCCAGCTACATTTCCTATTTTGTGATCAAATTATCTCACACATTTAAGTTAGATGCAAATATGTGTTCATGCGTTTTGTACCTAATTAAATAGAGAAAGTTCGCCGATCTCCAAATTGAAAATGCTCCAATTCCGAGAATTTTCGTAAAAAAAAAAAAAAAAGTAGGTTACGATGAGATAAAGAAATAATGGTAATGATTTAATAAAAAGGGGCCTGTTTTCTTATTTTTAACAATAAAAACTATTTATATTAAAAGATTTAAAATTGAATCATTCCTCTCATTTTCAAAAACTCAGCTGCGGGCCTTAATCTTCGCTCTCTCTCTTCACTCAAAACCTATTTCGTTATCGCACATCCATAGAGTTCCGTTTTAATAATAGCAGAATATATTTAAAAGAAAAAAAGCCCTTTTTAAAATAATCTTAATACATTTAAAAGAATTTATTAAGTGCCAATTATATAAAACTTCAAGGTTAAGTAAAAGCTGAGACCTACATTCGCACCTTTAATAAATTATTTTTTAGATAGATAGAAAATAACTTTATTCTGAGGCAAGTCATTATTGACATAGTAAATAACTGATCAAACATTGATGTCACGGCTGGTAGGTGAAAATTGCACCAATGCAAGGCCGCTTAAATTCCTTGTAAATTGACAATTGTAAATAAAAGTAAAACCTAAGTTAATATTTCTGAGACCTCTACCAAATCGGTAGTCTCTCATATATTCTTCGGATAATTATGTATAATTATTTTCAATTTATACATAGTTACACAGCTACGAAAACAATTATGTCTAGGATTGTGCGATAATATTGAAATCAATAGATAGCTTTATATTCTTTCGATATGGCTCAATATCGTATCCAAACAAAGGATTGTATATCATCATAATATCGAAAGAAAAATAACAATATCTAATTTCGATATTTCTGTTTTCTGTTATAAAATGAAATCAATTTATTACTTAAAAAGCATATAATGAGCGTATTAATATGTACCAATATTTTTGAAACCTTTCATATACAAATCCCTAATATCTCCGTATATTTTAAATGGAATTAACATACTTTCATAGAAAACAGTTCATATCGTTGGCTTATTGGAAAAAGTCACTAAGTACATTCTTGATGGAATCGTTTAAAGAACGTTTGTGTGAATTTTTACCTTATTTATTGATAAAAATTGATGAACTAAAATGGGACGAACTCTGTTTTTTACTTTCCTACCTAGGTAAGGAAAGTATTGCAATCGGGTCAAATTTCCGACATGAGGTTTTCGACGGATCTATACGTTTTACAGCCCCCTGAGTCCGAAAAACACATTTTTAGCCATTGGTCTATCTGTCTGCCTGTCTGTGCCAAGATTTTCTCGGGAACTACCGAACCGATTTTGTTCAAACCTATCGTTTGAAAGGTAATGAAATTCCCTACAAAGCCATATAAAATTCGTTCACTATTAACGAAGCTCCAGCTATTCAATTTCCAATGAAAGATTACGAGTTCATTTTCTGGTGTCAGAAAGGGGTGAATGAGAGAATAAAGATGACTAAGTGAAAGTTAGAAAATCTGTTGCCCGCATCACACAATCTTCACTATTTCCTCTACTTTTAAAAGAAATTATTATTTGACAATACTAAGCTGTTCCAAAAAGTTTTTGATCAGCAATATTAATGAGTATTCGAATTTTTACATAGATCTACCTTAAGCCAGTTTCATTGCTCTAGTTTATCAAATAAATCGTACTCAAATCTTATGTTTGATCAATTTTCAGGAAAATAAATTTAGTTTAATTCTTTTTTGTTTCTTCATGAACATATGTAAAGATATAAAAACTTTTCTGAAATAGGTGCGAAAGTCGTATGAGTGGACACACCAGATATTTTTTATATTGCTATCAAATATATGTATAGTTACAACAAGCTCTTTCTGATTTCTCAAAGGGAAAATTCGTTAAAGTTCTTAGTCATTTAAGGTTATGAAAAATCACTTATTGACTTTTTGCAAGAAACCATTCATATATTTAAAAAAAAAAAGTACGATTAAAATAAATTTTCTCCATCCACTAGATTTTATGCTTCATTTTATTTTATTTTGCATCATTTTTATTTTATTTTAAATATTACAATAGGTTAGGACAAATGCGATTTCCGCCATTTTGTTTCCGGGGAATACAAAAACGTTTAAATCCTTTTTTTAACGTTATGCTGTTGTTGATTGTTTACTGTTCTATTTGAGCTTTTGTGATAATGTAACTAATGGAAGTTCATTATCGTTGATTCTTTAAACAGAATATTCGACTGCGTTTAGAGAAATCCAAAGACACCATTGTTTCGCTCAAAAGAATACCCAGTACTGTGCAGGTAATTATGCTTGCGCCCGCTTGAGTAGATGCGGAAAGACGTAACATAAATAAATATCTAGAGCGGATTTTAAGCGACCGCATATACCAAAGTACTTTTAGGTTTAAAAAAAAAATGTTATATCTTCATTAAAATTAGAAACTTTTCTTTGACTATTCCAAACACCTTGAATTGAATTTTCTCAAAATTAAAAAAAAAAATATTACTTATCAGCTTAATCCACTAGACTCTTTAAATATTAAAGATAATTCTATAATTCCTGATATTATTCATTTGATTGATTTGATGTCTATAAGGAAAGTAATAAAATATGATAAGGTTTTTATTATACAGCGAGATAAATATTTGATAGCAAGTTTCAAGCTATCAGAGATTGTAGATCGTTTGTATAATTTAAATTTTAAAATAGTTCTAGAAGTGTTCTAGCGCTGTTTCAGACAAAAGGCAATGGAAGATTCGTATGAATATTTGCAGGAAAAGGGGAGAAAAGTATATTAAAACTGATAAGTAAATAAATATGTATTAAATAAAAACCAAATATTTTACTTCAGTCTCGTTATTTAATAGCCATAGCCGTATTAACTCCAATTGCTGTTAAAAAAGTTAAAAGCTGACCAGAGATTCAAAATCCAATGGACACTGATGTAAGTTTAAAACGAGGGAAGTTATCCATTAATGGGTAACAATATTCCAAAATTATTCAGTTTCCCAACTTCTAGAAAAAAGCCCTGTTACACAGAGGACTAACTTGCATTTGTATTGCGAAATCATTCTTAAGCCAGTTACTCTATTAGGTTTTTATTGTGTTATCAAAGAAATTATTCCAGTTTTGGTGTTGTTCTTTTCTTAGGTTTAAAATTTCTCTGTTTTATGTTATATGTAGACATATATATAATATGTTTCATTAATAAATATGAGAAAAGAGGCTGATGGCCGATTTGAAAGAGCTTGAGAGGGATGCCTGGTAAGACTTTGCCCCAAGCGCCTATACTCACTGCTTATATAGTATACACTTCAAATATAGTAAAATAAAAATATATAAATACATTTATTTATTTTATATATAAATATACATAGTAAAAATATAGTATCAACATTATATTAAAATATTATATACTATAAGTGTGTACGACTATAATATGGTGAAAGGAAACTTAAAGTTCTACATAGGAAAGGATTTTTACAGCTCTCTCTCTCCCTGCAGTATAAGTATATAAGTAACATAATAGAATTTTACGTTCCTACCTATACTAGGTAAGAAAAGTATTGCAATCGGGTCAAAGTTCCAATATACAGTTTCAGAGCCCCCTGAGTCCGAAAAACACATTTTTAGCTATTAGTCTGTCTGTCTGTGTCAAGATTTTATAGGGAACTACTGAACCGATTTTGTTGCTTCTTTTTTATTTTGTAGCGTTTTGAATACTGATGCCTGTAACACTAATTGGATGCTCCATGCGCAATAAATGAAAAACATATTTTTCTATAGACTGTAGCGCGAAAACGGCTGTAACGATTTTGATGAAACTTACCTATAATGTTCTAATAATTGTTTTGTCAATCTTTGTATATGGACTAAATTCCCGAGAAAATTCAAGAAAAAAAGTTATAAAGAATAGAAAAATGTTTAGGGGCCTAACTCGCTAAGTGTATATTCTATGGTAAAATTTATAATAAAACTTTTGAAAGATAATTAAACTACCAAAAAAAAAAAAATCATCGGACTCGAACAAGTATTAACGATGAAACTGCATATTCTATACTAGGTAAGGAAAGTATTATAATCGGGTCAAATTTCCGATATGCGTTTTTTAACGGATCCATACGTTTCAGAGCCCCATGAGGAATGAATGAGAGAAAAAAGATAACTAAGTTAAAGCAAGGAAATATATTGCCCCCATCACACAAGCTTTACTATTTCCTATAATTTTAACAGAAATTATTGTTTGGCAAAATTGGGCTATGGCAAAAAGTTTTTGATCAGCAATATTAGGGGGTATTGCAATTTTTACACTGATCTACCTTACATTGCTTTTGTTTATCGTATAAATCGTCTTCAAATCTTTTCTTTGATCAGTTTTCAGGAAAATAAATCTAATTCAATTTTATTTTCTGTTTCTTGATGGACATATGTAC